GGCAAGAGTTTGACAAAGCATTGGGCAGGATTAGCAAGTGGTTCGGTGAACAGGAGGAAAAAATCACCAGGTATCATCTGATTGGACATGAAGTCAGCGTGAAGCAAACACTCGCAGACTGCAAAGTATGTATTACTTCTTTGTGCAAGCATTTAACATTGATATTCAAGGACAAATGCAGTGTAGCTAACCTTTTGAATGTTTCATTGAAGCTATGGGCTTTTGTGCAACTTGGTCATCTTTAATACATTTCTAAATTCTGTTGTTTTTTTTTTTCCAGATTTTGCAAGATGCACTCTCATCAAAAGAAGATGAAATAGATACTGTGAAGAAAATGGGGGATGAGTTGATTGATCTGAGTTATAGTTCCTTAGATTGTCAGGAAACTGTCCAGTCCAGTTTGGACAACTTAATTGATCAGAGGCAGCAAATTTCATCTAAAGTCAGAGAACTACAAAATGTGCTGAACAATTTCCTTAGACATTGGAATACCTATAATTCGGAGTTAAATGAAATCAATAAAGTGCTTTTAGAAGCTGATTACAGCCTTAAAAGATACACCAAAATAGGAGCTGATTTGAAAACTCATGAAATGCAGGTGGAAAAATTACAGGTGAGCAAATTTCATATCTACTTTTCATTACATGATTTCACAGGAAAGTCCAAAAATCCCTCTCAAGGACAATTAATTAAACCGTAATGATGATATAAAATATTTTAATGAGAATTTAAAATTAATTTAATGTTGGCCCCTTGAAGCAATGGTGTTGGAATCAAAATTCCTAAAATATATTGCTTGCAGGTAAAAGTAAAAGAACCTTTAAGGTTTTGCAAACTGATGCTATATATCATTTGCCATTTTATTCTTGAGGCATATTTTATATCTGTTAAAAAAATGATATGAAAAAAAAAAACGAATTCTTGAAATCAAAAAGTAAATTTTGATAGAGGATGCAGGCTTTACATTTATTTCTTCCAAGGGAGAATTCATTATTTTCCTTAATGTAGGCAATATATATTTTTGTTGAATTTAGATGTAAGAAAATATTTCATTTGATCAAATAATTCAACTGATTTGTCCTATATTTTACAATCCTATCAATGTAGTGAAGCTATGACAATTAGTTTATGAATAATTTATTTATTTCTATCTATTTTCAGAACCTGAGTGAAACAGTTAAAAGATGTCAACCTGTATTTGAGAGTCTTATAACCACTGGTAACCGGTTGATGGATGTTTGTGAATTCCAAGCTAAGAGAGAAATACAGCAAACCCAGTTAGAAATTCAAACAAGGCATGTGAAATAAATATTATCTATTTAAGCCTTATACATTGCAGAACATATTTTTATTAAGGAAGCTCTTCTATTGTCACAGATTTTTTCACCTTCAAAATGTTACATGGAGTTGATCTAGCCAAAGGAAATCAAGAGGGATTTTGATGGAAGAATTTAATTTTGATTGTAATATGATCCACAAACAAAATGCCATACAAACACAGTGAAATTAAAAACATCCAATCAAATTATATATTTAAGTCTTGAAAATAAAAATGTCAAGTGAAATATACCATGGGTTTAGAGCAAGTAAATGACTGTGTGTTTTCAGTACTTTGAAACAGTTGTGATGATACATGTAGATTAGATGGAAGAGGGGGTCACTTTATTTGAAGATTTAATTTCATTCATAGCTAGCATCCATAGGTACCCCCCCCCCCCCCCCCAATATATATGTAGTCAATGTGCCGAGTTGTACATGTCTCAAACTGCTTTACAACAATAAAATGTGATTATTCTGTTTCCATACTGGTTTCAGAATCTTGTAGAGTTGAAATGCATAAGTATTATGCAGCCCATAGATACACAAATTATAAAACACTTTTTCCCTCCTAATAGCTGGGACAATATGTCCAAAGACTTGAGAAGGAGACTGGACCTGTTTGAAGACAGCTTGGCGAAGTGGAAAATGTATGAGGAGGAATATGCCCAGGCTAGAATTTGGCTGGAAACCAAGGAAAGACTCAGCTGGGAGTTGTTAGCCAAGAAAGAGGACAGCAGCCACAGACAGGAGTGCTTTGAGACAGCTAAGGTGTGTTAAAGCAAATTTTTGACATTCTGCAAAAAATAAAATCAATCCTTAGATTCTTGGTCCAAAAATAAAATAAGGTAGAGTAGTTGTTTTTTTTTTTATTTTATGCAAGAGTTTGTTTCTTTTTCTGAGAGCTTTGAAGCTGGTAAGAGTGTTAAAGAAAAATTTCTACTTATTACAGTTGTGAAATAAATACAATATGGTGCACTTTGCAAGAGTTTCATGTTTTGTCTGTCTATATAATCTTTATGACTTGAACCCTGGAATATTTGAAAATAAAGGAAATTTGATAAACCATACTTTCAAGGGCTATGGAACATCAGAACTTGTACAAGCTCTCACCTTAAAGAGTATATTATGTAGAAATAAAATCTTGATATTCAAGGCCCATTGGCCTGTTGTTTCTGTGTGGAATTAGTAGCTATATATTATTTACATGTACATGTAACAGTTTTGATCTCTTTTCAGACTTTAATGAAAGACCTGGATGATTTTCAGTCAAGAGTTTTCCTTCTTTATCAACTGGGTGATGCTGTAACCAAGAACATGGATTCCACCAGTATAGTTACTTTTACTTCACGCCAGAGTGCCATTGAACAGCGACTAATGGCACTTAGACAAACAACATCAAAACTAGTCGAGGAACTGCGTGATGAAATTTCACAGAAACAAGAATTTTATGATTTACTAAATAAAGTGAAAATGTGTCTCAGTGATGTGGATAGAGTTTTAGAAAAAGAGGAAATGAACCAATCTAGTGATGACCAAGCAATGAGGAACCAGTTTGATGAGTTGAAGAATGCCTTAACTCAAATGAACAGAACTGCAGAACAACTGGATATATTAAATAGCATTGGTTACAGGCGTACACTCACCAAACAGATGGCAAAAGAACTACGAGACTTAAATAACTTGTGGTATAAAAAACATTCACAACTCAGAGAAAGAGCCAAATCATTACAAGGCTTACTGTTGTTGCAGAATGACTTCAAGACGAAATGTGATATGTGGATGACATTCCTTGGACAAACGGAGCTAGATCTCTCCATTGAAATTGCTGGGAATTTACCCGACCTCCAGAGGCAGCTTAGGCAGTGTGAGGTATGAAAAAAAAAATGAAACAAAAAATGAGAAACATTATTATGAACAAAAGGTGATCAACTAACAGGTGAATTAAACTAGTGAGCAAATAGAAAGCAAAAAGTGAGTGTAGAAAGAGCAAAATTGGTCAATCCCAAGTAAATGGAGAATGCAAAGTGTACATTAATGAGCAGAAAGCAAACAGTGAGTGAATAAAAAGTAAACAGTGAGTGACCAGAGATCAAAGAGTGAGTGACCAGAGATCAAAGAGTAAGTGAGCAAACAGTGAATGAGCAGAGAGCAAACAGTGAGTGAATGGAAAGTAATCAGTGAGTGACCAGAGATCAAAGAGTGAGTGAGCAGTGAGCATACAGTGAATGAGCAAAGAGCAAACAGTAAGCAATTAGAGAGAAAATAGTGAGTAAGCAGAGAGCAAACAGTGAGTGAGCAGGAAGCATACTGAATACTGATTAAATACAAAAAAAGTGTAAAATGTTTCAGGGACTCTATGCTAGGAAAAACAGTAAGAGACCAGAGAGCAAACAGTGAGTGATTAACAAGTATACTGAATGCTGAGTGAATGCAAAAAAGTTTCAGAGACCTAAGTAGGTCAAACAGTGAATAGCTAGAGAGCAAACAATGAGTAAACAGAGAGCAAGTGGAGAGTGAACAGAGAGCATACTGAATGCTGAGGAAATACAAAAAAGTGAAAATATTTCAGGGCTCTAAACTAGGTCAAACAGTGAGTGAATGGCAAGCAGTGAATGAGTGGGGAGTAAATAGTAAGTGAGCAGAGAACAAACTGAGTAAGTGGAAAGCAGACAGTGAGTGAGTGGAGGGAAAACAGAAAGCAAACAGGGAGTAAACAGAGAACACATTGAATGCTGAGTGAATACAAAAGAGTGTAAAGTTTCAATGATACTAAGGTAGGTCATGGACCTATGTTAAGTACAAGGATTCAGTTAGTAATATCAATATGTTCTCTTATTGATAATCTTTAACTTAAACAAAATTACTCCTGGTTTAAAACCATACATTGTCTTTTGACCATATTGGGTATTTCAATAGCATTTTTTGTTTTCTTTTTACAGAAGTTTGAGTTGGACATGTACACAAAACAACAAATTCTTCATTCAATAATTCATGATGGACAAAAAATAACACAGGAAAGAAAACTTGGACAGAATGATGAATTACAATTAAAACTGCATTTATTAGCAGAACAGTGGGAAAGTGTTAGGAGACGAGCCATTCAGAGGAAAGCCATCATTAACAATTCCATCCATCAGTGGAACACGTTCAATGAATCAGTTACAGCACTACATAACTGGTTGAAAGAAAAGGAAAATATTTTATCAGATTTTGATGCAGACTCAGTAACCATTCATGAAAGCAAGAATATTCTGGAAAAGTTACAGGTAAGAAGTTCTTAAGGATGCAAAGGGAAATAACACTAAATCAATTTTTGTACGAGAACCTGTATTCTCTGAATAAAATGGGATTTTTCCCTTTCTGCTCTGCCCTTGTTTCATGGGGCTGGCTTCTATTGCAGTGGGCAGTGCTTTGTGTATTAAGCAGTCATATAGGATAATTCTGTTTAAGATTTCATTTTATCATGTTTTCTCCTTTATACAGTGGATGGATATATTTCATAGGAAATCATTTTCATATCCACCGTTGTGACATCCCAGTGGTTTTTGCATGAATTTGATCAAGTCAGATATTGTGGATTTATATACTGTAGATTACTAATTAAGGATTATTAGGAGAAAGAAAGGAATCTGTTTGAAAAAAAAAAAAGCAGAGTAATATTTTTTAAATTTTTATTTAAGGGTCTTCAAAGAGATTTAAAAAGTCAAGAGGCAGCATTTAAAAGAATCCATGTGCAAGGAAAACCCCTTTTGCAACATGGTGATGAAAAAGGTCAGGAAGAAGTCAGTGCCAAAATTGACATGTTACAAACACTGTGTATGGGACTGGTTAATTCAATTGAAAGGAAATGTACCAGACTTGAACGTGTTCTTCATGAATGGCAGGATTGTGAGAAAAAGTTGGAAGAACTCCTTCTGTGGCTCAAAGACATAAGGACAGAATTTTCTAGGGAACTGCCTATTGGATATGATCAGTTACAAGCAGAATATCAGAAATGTGTGGTAAGAGACCAGGCTCCAAGACCATAAACTGAGAACAGACTTAAGTCAAAATTTCAAACCAATCTAACTTTTGAAATAATTTTGATAATGAAACAAAATTTTCATCATATATTTGAATTTAAATTTTATTAAAAACTGCAAATTTTTAAGCAAAATCATTCAATAAGACTCAAGAAATTAAAAATCAAAATTTTGACTTAGTCTGTTCTCAGTTTATGGTCTTGGAGCCCGATCTATTGAAAGCAGTAAATTTTTTTACCAATATAAGCTGCTCAAGAAGAAAAAATATTGATTTTTAATATGTGGGAAAAGTTCAAGGTATCACCAAATTTCCTATGAACTTTTTAAAATAAAATATTTTCAGTATCTGTGAAATTTTACTTAATTTTTCTCTAGAACCATTAAATTAATTTCAACTTTTTACTCTGCAACAAGTCAAAAATTTACATGTACATTCTAATTTTTGGATAAGAATTAAATTTAAGCTCACCTGAGAAAGAGAGTACCGGTACAATTGGTTAAATTCCTATGCAAGCAACCTCATATAGTGTAAAGAGGGTGTTGCAATAAGGCACTGTTCTCCTTACAGAATATTCCAACTGTTGTATTTAGTGACTATGATGTATGCATCTATAATTAGCTATACAACAGCTATCTTTTTTTACTGAGTTTCAATTCAAATGAAAACACAGTGGTAACATTTAAAAAAATTTCCAATTTTTGTCTATTGTCCTTTTTGCCAGATTATTGTAATGTTTCATTAAAATCAGAATGGAGACTATATGCCAGTGATACCTATATTAACTCGTTTCCATCCAGTTAATTTATTAATTTTGAATTTTTGTAGGATATAGAAGTAAGTTTTCAGATGTCTGAGATTCAACGGCAATCTCTGTTGGAGATGGAGATAAGACTGAGCAGTATCATCCAAACAGAGGATTTAAATATTCTACATCAACGAATTCTCCTCCTAAATAAACAGTGGGATGAGCTGCAAAACCAAGCATCCCAGCGAAAAATGCAGATTCAAAGCAGTATATGTCATTGGGCAAGTTTCAGTGATAAAGTGTCCAGTTTCCATAAGTGGATAGACAATATGGAGTATAAAGTCATCACAAACAAAGAATACCATATAGAGGACTTACTTCAAAAATTCTCAAAGGTATGTACATTGTATATATTAATTTCAATATAAACAATATTTTCTAGGCTACTAATTAGGGCTCTGCATATAATGTAAGAGCCTTGTAGGAAGTAGTCAACCATATTGTTAGTTCATCAGTATATGGAGATTTGAAACTTTAAAGTACTTTTCATATTTAATAAACATGGGTATATACAATGGTAGGAGTGAGGACACCTTCTTTTGGGGTATGGAATCAATGTTCATGCAATGTCAAAAGCTTAAGGGGGTTCTAGATTTTATAATGGGTCAGTTGTTTGTAAGTGACTTGAATGGACCAAATTTGAAAGTTGCATCTCAAAATGTGCACTTTTGTCACAATTTTTAAAGCTGTCATTTTCCTTTGCATATTTTTTTTTTACTGAGCTGCTTACCCAAGTCCTTTATGTAGACAGCATATAAAACTGACCCTCTGTTTTTCAAATTTTCTCTTCTGTATACTTTTAAGTAGTTGTTACTAAAACGTATCATGTTGAACTGGTTAAATATCATTGCATATTTTACAATAAACTATTCTGCAGAATAAGCATTGGTTATCATTGAATTGTTTATTTTTAGGAGTACAAAGCAGAAATGTCAGCCAAAGAGCAGTACAAAGACAAACTTCTGGAGGAAGGACAAGAACTACTGAAGATCAGTAGTGAACTACAGAGACCAGGCATAGAGAGTCAAATACAAAAGACGGAAGATAAATGGAATCACCTGAAGAAAACCCTGAAATTCAGGTAGATAAAAATATATTTATACTAGCATCAAAGGAAGCAATTGTATATAATGAGTTTGGTGGAGAAAATTCAATAAGTACACATGTTTATTTAAAGGAAGGATGAAGAAAAAGTATATGCCTTAGTAAGCAGTTTCAGAATTAAATGACAAATGTGTGGATATTTATGTCATGCCATTTATGAAGAAAAACTCAGAATTCTAATTCTCATTCAAATTCTTCTTGTTCTCTTTATACCATTGTGCCTGCAGGGCAGTTGGATTTCTGTTTGCTTTGCATTACAAATTTTTGAAGAAAAAAAATTAATTCAGACCTCAGTATTTTATTGGCCTTCATCAAAATATTGAATCTGGCAGTAAATTAAAAAAAAAAATGATTGCAACTAGTTTAAATCCTTAAAATTTTTAGGAAGCGGAAATTGGAGGAGACTCTTCTGGCTGTTAGACAGCTAGATACCAGTATGGCAAACCTGAGGAAATGGCTGGCAAATATAGAACATGATTTGTGTTCACCTCTGTTTTTCATGGAATCTGATGACAGAGAAATGAAATCAAAACTGCAATGTCAAAAGGTAAAAATTTGCAAATAAAAAATAGAAAAAATAAATGAAGTGCTTTCAAAATGCTAATCCTCTTGCTTTTTTGGTCTATAAGTTTGATTAAATTAAAAAAAAAAATTTGGTACCATTTTAGAAAAACATTGAAGTACTTAATTCTATAAATGTCAAACTAAAAAAAATGCATGCATGCTAAAATGCAACTTTTGGATTGTTTTTGAATTGAAATCAATTAGAGCTAAAGTCTCATCAGAGACTTCTAGTTCATTTAAAATTTTATATGAGGACATTTTAATCTTCCCAGCAAATCTTCCATCAGTTGAAAGAACCATGGATATCTTGACTCATAGGCCCTTTGGTCTCTGTTTAGGAAAGGGGGAGGGGTTCTGGAAAGGGGGGCTTAAATACCATTCCTTCTTTGGTAATTATTTTGGGTTAAAGGGAATTGTCACTCTAAAAGAGTTGAGAAAGTAGACGAAGTCCCATAAATTCATACAACCGTATTATAAGGTGACTTTTAATTTACTGAGGCATAAAATGTAATAGCATGTTGCATACCTTGCCCTTCAAGTGAATTTCAATAATCCTGTGGTGCTCTTTAAAGTCTAGGGTCAAACACTAAATACCAGTGGATGAATAGGTTCTTTTAAATTTTCAAGTACCACTCATTTAAACTTTCAGTGCATATTCAACCAAGATCTTTCAATCAATAGCCATGTCATTAACACATAATTAATTTTGCATGTAAGAATTATTTTACTTAAGGGGATAAGACAAGGTCATGCTTTATTGTTGAAGTCTATTTGTAGAATTAGTATGACACACATATAATGTCAGAGTAATGGCTGAAGATTTACCAGAATGGTTCATAGATTTACAGAAAAAGTTGGAAGAGGAATACCATTGGTGTCTGGATCTTCCACATCATATCCAATGTTTGGAAGATTTAAGATTTCCTTGGTTTTTACAGGAACTACAGAAAGATGTGGAGTTGCACAGTGCAGGAGTGGGCAGTGTGCTCAATCTATGTGAAGTTCTGCTGCATGACTCTGATGCTTGTCCCACAGAAATTGAATTCAGTGCACTACAAACAGCGATGAAGAATTTGGATCGCCGTTGGAGACATATTTGTCAGTCTTGTCCAGAAAGAAGATTATGGTTTGTAAATTCAATAGTTTTCTGAAGTACATGTATATAAGGTTTTGTTTTCCATAGTTTCTTTGTTCAAATGAAGGGCTTTGTTCCTTTTCATGGAACAATGATTAAGAAATAAGTGAAAATAGACTGGGGGTCTTTTAAAAAAAAATTTAAGGGACCGGTATCAAGATGTGGTTGACCTAAAGTAATCATTGTGTCCGTCTTTCTGTTCATCCCTCAACACTTTCATGTGATGTGATGCCATGGTTACTGAAATAGAATAATGCAAGAAATACTTTCAAATTGCTACTCCTCCCACAGTCTTAGTTCCATTTCTTGAACATTCTTTGTTATTTCTGCTTTTGTGTTTTCCAGGATTGAGGATACTTGGAATACATGGGAAAAGCTCAGAGCAGATTGTGATTATTTTGAAAGTTGGCTCAATGATATCGAGCTAGAGGTGGAGGCATCCACTTCAGATGATTTGAATGTTAGTTTTTCCAAGGATGAGATTGAACATTTTGAGGTAAAATTTGAATTTAACAAATTACATTGTATATATTTTGAAGTGCCATAAATTCATTGAAGGTTCAGTGTAATCCCTTTATGTTTCTTTGCAACACAGTAAAACCTGGTTACAAAAAATCACTGGGACCTCAGTCTATCAAAATTTGCTTCCTTATAATCAAGATTCTACATATGCGTATAAGAAACACTGTGAAAATTTGCTTAGGGGATTCATAAAAAAAAAAAACCCATATATCCAAGATTTCTTTACATCTGGGTTCTTTATAACCAAGTTTTACTGTAGTACATGCTATTTACGTTGGTGTGTGCCTGACATACAGCCCAACAGTTCTGACACCTAAATTGTATCCAGCTTTCGGATGAATAGTTATATAGAAATCTTTGTATCCTTTCATAGTGTGCTTACTAAGATTGCAACATCTTATGCAGGTGTATGTACACTATATACATGTATATACGGGTGCAAATAGTAATCACTGTGGCCATTTATAGATTTTACAATTAGTTTGTCACTTTGTTCATCAAGTTTGAGTTAACAAGACATCTTATTATATATTTCTCAAATACACAGTAGCCTTTTTTATACTGATTTCCAAAACGTTTTTCCAGCAACTCCAAAGAGAAATTCATGGAAAATTCAATGAACTGGAACAACTTAATAAAGTATACAGAAAATTAGCACGTGAAGGTAGGACAGATCATGCCGGTTCTCTCAAGTCGATAATCCACCACTGTAACACAGAATGGGATAGACTACAGCAAAAAGTTTCAGCCATTACGACAAGTCTCAAACAGTCAGCGACAGTGTCTGAAGACTTCCAAAACAAGAAGGATCAGATGTACAAATGGCTGACTGATGTTGAAGTCAGGATTACAGACTTAGAACATTTGTCACCAATGAACATTCCAGCTAAAATGGCAGAAATAAAGGTATGGCAAAAAATTTGGGTGGCATAAGTATGTGAGGGCTCATATTTGACATAAATACATGTATTGTTTAATGACAAGAAGTTAGACAGTGTATATTCTCTTAATAAAACATTTTATTCTGCGTGTTTTTTTTAATTGTACTTCCTCATTTCTTGAAACAATAGCGTCTGGAGGCATAACAGATATTATTTCCTGCAATTAAAAAAAAGGGTCGATGGAGAAACCGTAATCTCCAATATATTGTTTTGGCCTAAATATGTTTACTGATATGCCATGGTATCTTTCTTTCAGAGATTAAAGAGTGAAATAGATATCAAAGAATCAACCATGGTCCACATTGACTCCCTAGCATTACATTTAATCAAGAAAGGGGACATGAGAGATGCCAGCCAAACACAAAAAGAGGCAGAAGAACTAAAGAACTACTTAAGAGCTGTTAAGGACAGGATTTATCAGTTTAGTAGGAATCTAGAAGCCTCAAATGCCCAGGTAGGCAGTCTTTTCCTCTAGTTTTTTGTGTGGAATCAGTTTATGGAAATGGAACTTGGAATTCTTTTGAATTATTTCTTATAATTGAGAATTGTTTGTCAGCACTTTCTTAGCAAATTTTTAGTTTTTTTTTTTTTTTCAAATTAGCAGATTGAAAAAGTTCATCCTGGACTGCATTCCAATGATGAATTAGACATGTTGGAACTACAGTTGAAGTCTGATGTGCCATACTCCACAGCTCTCTTATCAGACACAATGCATGACATAGAGGAATATCTGGATTCCTCTCCTCCCGAGAGCCCCCCAGAAAAACGGAGGGTTTCCACACAAGGAATTCTGCACATGAAACCATCTCAAACAAGTAGACCATCTCCCCCAAGATCAAGGTCAAGAACACCAGTTGACTTGTTGCCCTCTAAAAGGTCCAGGTCTCCATTTTCAGGGTCCTCCACAAGAGTCAAGCCATCAAAGTCTGCCATTGGTAAATACCTTTGAATTCTTCTTTTTCAGGTCACCCAAGTCACTCAGGTGACCTTATTGCTCTTTGTTCTCTTTCGTCATGTGTTTTGCATGGTGCAGACTTTTTAATATTTTCAACTTTTTCTCTGAAAAAGGTGAAATATTTTCAACTAATTTTGGCTTGAAGCATTGAAGGAAAATAGTGACAAGTTTTGAATTTCACAGCCTTACCACAACCCCCACAACCCCCCCCCCCCCCCCCCCCCCCTCCGAAGGGGCCATAGAGAGGGGTCCAAAATTATTAAAATTCTTTTGGACACTTAGAAGTCAAATTGTTAATTTGATTAGAAAAGCAACAAACAGTACAAACTGTGAAAGTCCTAAGCACATGGTTCAAGATTCAGGCCCAAGGGCAGAGTTATTTTTGGTGATCATTAGCTCACCCGAGCCAAGGGCTTGTCTGAACAATTTTCCTTTGCAGTATTTTTTACAGAACAATTGTCCAATTTCATCCAAACTTGGCAGGAAAGCATTATTTGGTCACAGGGATGTATTCAAATGAATTTTCAAACTTGTATGTATGTAAACAGGCCCACATAATGTGGATTCCCATTTGCACGTTCAAGGATGGCCCCCTTGTGAATAATGAGGCCAGAAGATCTCAAGCTTTAGATTAATATATATTTTTGAAATACCTTCAAAAATCTTACTTTTCCTCTCAAGAAACACAAGGCTGCAAATTGTAAATTCTTTCTGCAAGCATTCACATATAGTGAAGGTTCGTGTTTGATTAAATCATAAAATTGTAAAAATTGTCTGCAAACATGCAATCACATTTATACATGTATATAGATTTGTTAGCTCTTCTGAGCCAAAGGCTCAAAGAGCTAATGCTATGGCCATTTGTGCGGTGTGCGTAAACTTTTTAGAATATGGGCCATAACTCAAGAACCCCTTGGCCAATTATTGTCAAATTTGTCACAGGATATCCTTGGCCCAAAGGCTCCCATTTATGCTAAAACAAGGTTTGTGACCCTTAGAAAAGGGGAGATAATTAGGAAAATAGAAACAAAAGTACTGGTTGCTAAGAAATCTTCTTCTCAAGAACCACTGGGCAGATTATCACCAAACTTACAAGGATGGGGATATGTTGAAGATTAAAAGTTGTTCAAGGCATCACCCTGGGGCAAAGGGCGTGGTGTAAAGGTCACTTCAAAGTTGACCAAAAATTACATTTTATTAAAATGTTGATATTTTGCTTACTATAAGGACTAGGATCATCAAATCTTGTCAGTTGATGCATCTAAGGACCTCATATCATAATGTTTCAAAAGTAGGTTACAGTGACCTACTTTTCAAATTTTGCTGCCATTCTTTTTCAAAATGATTTAGAGGCATATTTTGAACAATTTTTAAAGGCCTATGATCATCAAACTTTGTCAGTTGATGTATCTTGGGTCCTCGGAGTACCTCAACTAAAAGTAGGTCACCTTGACCTACTTTCTGAATTTTATGGCTAATCTTTTTCAAAACAATTAAGGTCATTAATTTGAATACTGAGAGGTTTAGAATCATTAAATCTTGTAAGATGATGCATCTTGGGGCCATAAAACAAATTTATTAAAAAGTAGGTCACTGTGACCTACTTTTTGAACTTTGCAGGCATTCAATTTCAAAGCGTTTTAGTGGCATAATTTGGACATTTTAAGGCCTATGATCATAAAACTTAGTAAGTTGATGCATCTTGGGTCCTCAAAAAACGTCAACTGAAAGTAGGTCACCATGACCTACTTTTCAATTTATATGGCTATAAATAAATATTTCGGATACTAATTGGCTTAGAGTCATCAAACTCTGTCATTTGATGCATCTTGGGTCTTCGGAGTAGGTCGACTGAAAGTAGGTCACTGTGACCTACTTTTGAAAAATTATGGCTTTAATTAAATATTTCAGGCATTAATTGGCTTTAATCATCAAAATTTGTCAGTTGATATATCTTGGGTCCTCGGAGTAGGTCAACTGAAAAGTAGGTCACCCTGACCTACTTTTTGAAATTTTATGGCTGTATTTAAGATTTTTGGGTACTATTTGGCTTAGAATCATCAAGGTTTGTCAGTTGATGCATTTTGGGTTCTCGGAGTAGATCGACTGAAAAGTAGGTCACTGTGACCTACTTTTCAATTTATATGACTATAGTTAAATATTTCGGGTACTAATTGGCTTAGAATCAACAAACTTTGTCAGTTGATGCATCTTAGGTCTTTGGAGTAAGTCGACTGAAAAGGAGGTCACCATGAACTTCTTTTGAAAATTTGTGGCTTTAATTAAATATTTCACGTACTATTTGGCTTAGAAGCATCAAAATTTGTCAATTGATATATCTTGGGTCCTCGGAGTAGGTCAACTGAAAAGTAGGTCACGTGACCTACTTTTCAATTTATATGACTATATTTAAATATTTCGGGTACTAATTGGCTTAGAATCGTCAAACTTTGTTAGTTGATGCATCTTGGGTACGTAGAGTTAATCAACTGATATGGAGGTCACTGTGACCTATTTTTGAAATTTTATGGCTTTATTTAAATATATGAGATACTTATTGGCTTAGAATCATCAAATTTTGTCAGTTGATGCATCTTGGGTTCTCAAAGTATGTCATCTGAAAAGTAGGTCACTGTGACCTACTTTTGAAATTTAATGGTTATAATTTTAAAAATATTTTAGGCATTGATTCACTTAGAATCATCAAACTTAGTTGATGCATCTTGGGTCCTCAGAGAATGACAAGTGATAAGTAGGTCACCGTGACCTACTATCAGGTACTAATTGGCCTAGAATCATCCTGGGTTCTCAGAGTGTTTTATCTAAAATGTAGGTCATGATGACCTACCTTTGGAATTTCAAGGCTTAATCTAAATATATAGGATACTTAGAGGCTTCAAATAGAAGTGATAGGTTGTACAGTTTATCAGAAGAGCGATTCAAGGCCCTTGGGCCTCTTGTTTTTAGTCAAATCATGAGGCCAAATAAGAAAGGGTCCAAAATTTTACATATAAATGTCAAGAGAAATGTTAAAGTAGTCTTTTTTTAGAATAACATATATACAAAATTGTTAAACTTAATATGCGAGCATTACCACATGAATTGAAATCGAATTTGTTCAAGTCATGGTCCCTTGAGCAAGGATGGAGCTACAAGAGAATTTAAGATATTTGTTAGAAAAATCTTCACAGTTTCTGTTAGATTGCAAGACTGCAATTTAATTTATGACAAAATAAAGTATGATAAATCAATTCTTTTTGCAGCATCTAGAGAAGAAATTTTGAGGGAGTTCACTGAAGATGCACCCATGAATCTGAATGCCAAAATAGAAGCACTCATGGGACAAATGGTGGATGCTCTAGATTTAGCAAAACAGCAACTAAGACAGCTGGAGGCAGAGGTGCACATCTCCAGCCCAAGGGTCCCTGATCTGGGCAGAAGTTCTGGAGACTATGTATGTTAATCATAATAAGACTTCAGAATTAGCTGAATACCTGGGCGTGGGGCAGTGGGATTTGTCAGCCCCTGGGGACAAGCAATTTTTTTTAAAATAAAAATTCAAATAATAAGAATATCAATAAATATTGTGGTGGAAAGATGCATTAAAACATTAGAAACAGAATGACAATCAAAAACGATTGCTACATAAATTTTTTGACATGCTAAAAACAATTCCATTATTACATCTCAATAAATGTGATTTAAAACAAAATAAAATTTTCCAAACACCATAAATTAATGTAAAATTTATGTCATTTAATATTGCATGCAAATTTTTATCCCCCTGTAATCAAAGATTAGAGGGCATATAGTTTTTGGTCTGTTAAACTGTCTTTCTGTTTGTCTCTTTGTCCAAAAAACTTTAACCTTTCCCATATCTTTTGAATGGTTGGTGATAGGGCTTTCACATTTTTCATGTGTATCTCTTGTGACAAGACCTATCTTCGAATACTAATATTTTTGACCTCTTGACCTTGGAATTCAACCTATTTTTAGAAAACTTGATCTTTGTCCATAACTTCTTAACAGTTGGTGCTAGAGTGTTCATATTTCACATATTCCTTGTGCCAAGATCTTTCTTTGGATATGAACATTTCTTGACCTCGTGACCTGACATACTTTTGTGAAACTTTAACCTTTGTCATAACTTTGAATGGTTGGTGCTAGGGCTTTCATATTTTCCATATGACAAGACATTTCTTTACATACCAACATGTATGACCTCATGACCTTGGAGTGTGCTACTTTCATAATACTTTAACCTTGCCCATAACTTTTATATTTCACATATGCTTTTCTTCTGACAAGACCTTTTCTTGGGTACCAAAATTTTTACTCTATGACCTTCACCTTGGAGTATCACCAACTTTTGAAAAACTTTAACCTTGGCCATAACTTTTGAACGGTTAGTGCTAGGGTTTTCATATTTCAAATGTGTAATCCTTGTGACAAATCTTTCTTTTGATTCCAACATCTTTTTACCTGATGACCTTGACCTTGGAATTTGACCTTCATTAAAAAAAATTACTTCTGTCGTGAGCTGCCATTTGGGATAATCAGTGTTTCACAAACTCATCTTGCTTTACTCTTCTTAAATGCAAGTACTTTCATAAAAATGGCAGTCTCATGCCAGTCCTTCAAAAACTTAATTTTATTGGTTCACCTCTTAGCGTGCTTTAATGAATCTCTCATCTTCAATAGCTGAGGTTTTTTTTGGTCCACTCTGACAAAAATCAAATTAAAATTAAAGCAAAATTAAAGTTCACTGTTGATAGAAACTCTTGGCTATACCAAATATGTGAACCCCCATTTAAGTAGACACCATTCACCACAATTCATTTCTATTATATGAAGTTTCCAACATTTTAGTGATTTATGAAATTTTGATTTTTCAGATGCCACTAGTAAATGAATGTGAACAGAGGATAAATGAAGTTAAAACTCTGGATCGTCTCATTAAATCAGAGACTGGATTCTCTAACATCAGCAGCATAGACAGAGAAGTTGAAGGTTAGTGTATAGTGGTAAATTGATTAAAATCAAGGTTAGTATTGAAGTACTGGATTTTGTGATAAATCTCTTTAGGGAAATAAAGTTTAAGCTTTTAGATTAATTTGAAAATCTGGAAAATTGCTTACTGGTAGTTGATCTATTTAATTTTACTTAGACAGTTACCATTGATTTTCATTGTCCCTGCTGATTTTATTTTTTACAATAACTTCAAAAGATTCTTTAAAATTATATTTATCTATCATAATTAAGTCATATGACAATAGTCTTTTATCTATGATAATAATTGTGAGAATTAAGACTTTGCATTCATGACAAAGTTTATTGGAGATGAAATAAAAACCCGGTGACTTATAAAGATTTTGAAAAAAAAGTCTTGAATTTTTAATAAGGGTTGTGAAATTGGTCAACTGGATACTTATTGAAATAATATTGAAGGAAGTAATATTGATATTGTAGCAAAATGACATACTTGATTACATGTTGATGTGGCAGACATTGCTAGTTTAAGAAAACAATTTAAATAACACCTTTTTTAGTTCATTCTGCTTGTGAAGCAAAACACTAATGCACATGTAAATCATAGAAATTGAATCTCTTTTAGATGTTAAGGACAGATGGGAAGTGCTTCAAGCAATGGTCTTTGAAAAAGATCAGAAGTTGGCACAGCACAAAAGGGAATGGAGGCAATTTATGGCTGACATTGACAACATGCAGATCTGGTTAGATGAAGTGAATACAAAGCAGAACCAACTGCGATCATTTCAAGGAGGAATCGCCAATTTAGATTTTATTGTCAAGCATCACAGGGTATGCTAAATAAATCACTTTTTAATTGTGAGAACTTTATTTTCGCATAATTACACAGGACCGTCTACTCACGAAAATTTCATTCTTGCATAATTTTTTATGATTGAAGATTACATATAACAATTACCTGAATTAGTGAAAAAAAAATTTCTCTCTTATAAATAACACATGACCTTTTTATGCCCCCGGATTGAAAGATCCCTGGGTATATTGTTTTTGTCCTGTTTGTCTGTCTGTCTGTTGGTTGGAGCTATGACTTTCATATTTCACAGGTGTATTCCTTGTGACAAGACCTTTTTTTGGATACCATCATATTTGACCTTTTGACCTTGACCTTGGAGTTTGACCCACTTTTGCAAAATTTTATGAGACTTTAACCTTGGCCATAACTTCTGAACAGTTGGTGCTTGGGGTTTCAAACTTCACATGTGTATTCTTTGTGACAAGGCCTTCCTTTAGTTACCAACAACTTTGACCTTTTGATCTTCACCTTGGAGTTTGACCTACTTTTGAAAAACTTTAACCTTGGCCATAACTTTTGAACAGTTGGTGCTTGGGGTTTCAAACTTCACATGTGAATTCCTTGTGACAAGACCTTCCTCTGGATATCAACCTCTTTGACCCTTTGACCTTGACCTAGGAGTTTGACCTACTTTTGAAAAACTTTAATCTTAGCCATAACTTTTGAATGGTTGGAGCTAGGGCTTTCATACTTCACATATGTAATCCTTGTGACAAGACCTTCCTTTGGATACCAACCACTTTGACCTTTTGACCTTGACCCAGGAGTTTGACCTACTTTTGAAAAACCTTAACATTAGCCATAACTTTTGAATGGTTGATGCTAAGGCTTTCATACTTCACATATGTAATCCTTGTGACAAGACCTATCTTTGGATACCAACAACTTTGACCTTGACCTTGGCGTTTTACTTACTTTTAAAAAACTTTCACCTTCGCCACAACTTTTGAACAGTTGCAGCTAGGGCTTTCAAATTTCACAGGTATATTCCTTCAGACAAGACCTTTCTTTGGGTACCAACATTTTTAATCTTTTGGTCTGGATTTTGACTTGCATTTGAGAAACTTTAACCTTCGCCATAAGCTGCCATACAGGGGCATCAGTGTTTCACAAACACATCTTGTTTGAAAATAAGGTGTTGCGAAAATTTGGTGATTTACAGTACTATTGTTTGGATACTGACATACACAGGCAAATATGTACATGTACTACATGTATTAAAAATATATATATTCACTGTATATATATCCATGTATATTTTCATTACTTTAAATTCTGTCTGTCAATTTTTTATTCTACTTTAACAAATCATCAGATTTACAAGTCAGTTAATTGAATTTAAAAAGCTATTGTTGGCTTTTTTAAACATTTGATATATGGAGCATTCTTTGGCTTAGCCTCATGATTAATGATGCATAAAAGTCAACATTTTTTCCCCCATTCTTTTCAGGACTTTTTAATGCAACTTGAATCCAAAAAAGCCAGAGTTCAGTCATTAAATCTTCTTGGAAGAGATTTCATTGACCTCAGTACTAAGGATGGAAGAAGTACACATGACAAGCTAAAGAAAATAAATTATCAGTGGGATAAACTGTGTTCCAAAGTGATTGTCATACAAAGGGAACTACAGGAGGCTCTGATGCGATGTCAGGAATTCCATCACACCATTCATGATTTACTTCTGTGGTTAGAAAGTGTAGAGAATAAGCTACAGCAATGTGAACCTATCAACTTATCTGTAGATGAGACTGCTATGTGGTCTAAACTTAGGAAACTTACTGTAAGTTGATATCTGAAAATGAAAACAGGTTTATATTTTCTTTCGATACACTACTCTTTCATGGGCCATATGATGGTATGGGACTTCCCATCCGTCTGTATGTCTGTTAATTAACTTAATGTATTAATCTTTAAAAATATAGGGTGTTGATCCAAAAATGGCTGTTTTGTTGTAGATACTGGTGTAAACTTAGCATTAAAATGGGAAGTTCTCACTGGAAAAAAAAAACATACTAATTTGAATCCATCGAAATACAAAGGAATTAAGAAAAAATGAAAATTACATGTATGCATAAAAATCGATGTTTTGGTTGTTTTGCAGGTTTTGAAAGCTGATTTAGAAAGCAACAAAGATAGAATATTTTCACTGAAAGAAACTGCTGACAAGCTCCTCATCAACTCAGATTCTGTGGAAATGATCAACGCCCATGACAAAATGCACATCATTGCTAACAGACATAATGCACTGATGAAACTTTGCTCATCATATACATCTAGTTTGGAAGATGTGCTAAAAGCTCCAAAGACATCTATACGAAGTGTATGTATCAGTAAAGTGCATTTCGTAGCAAAAAAGCAATGAATTTGTAAAGTATGATTTTTATTAAATTGTAAATATAACAGAAATATAATATATTAATTATATCAAGATTGTTTACATGCACTTATGCCCTGTTCACACGGAGAGTTTAATTCGAATTAAACGTAAGTTACTGCGAATTAAATTTGATCCGCGTTCACCAGGAGAATTTAATGCGAATTAGTTTAATTCGAATTAGTTTACTGCACATTAAATTACTTCGCATTAGCTCCATGTGAACGCTAAGGGAAGCTAATTCGAATTAAATTTTGACGCATGCGTAAGGTCAGAATTAAGTCACAGGCCACATGTCGAAGGTCAAATATAGGTACTTGTGCTTTTTTTGAGTGGAAAACAAAGGAAAATTATGTTAATCACTAAAATGTGTACAGACACTATGAAATACATTATGTCAAATGTATGTCTGCTCTGCACAATATGACGTGATTTGTAAATGACGTCATAATAGCCCCACTGAATAGCCTTGTTGTACAAATAAAATTATAATTCGCATTAGTTTACTTCGCATTAGTTGTCGTGAGAACGCAATTTAATTCGCATTAGTTTAATTCACATCATTTTACTTTGCATTAATTTACTGCGAATTAAACTCTCCCTGTGAACAGGGCATTAGTTTCATAAATGTACATTATTCAGGGATTGGGACAAATGTTTAGGTCAAATTAAAATTTATAAAGTGAACATCAGCTACCAATTTATTATGTGAGAAATTATTTTTTTATGAAAAATGAAATGGCTTTGTAAGCAAATTTGTTCTGATTTATGGTGCCTTTGTTTCATATGGTCCTGGTCTCTTTTGATTATGAATTCTAGGAAAATGTCAGTAAATAAGTTCAAAATGAACTTTGACCTTCATTTTTACGGTAAGATGAATTGAAGTTTTAAAAAAAATCAGAAGATTTAAATGTTCTTTGTAAAAGTTACTGATGAAAATCTGAGAAATCAGTCATCACAGATGATCAGTTGTGATTTCCAGACTGGTTGTTTTTATATTTGCAAATTTCATGATTTAATGATATAATTGGTTAATGCAAGGAGAAGAGTCATTGCCTATTCTTTTCAATGTGTATTTGAACAACCTAGAAAACCAGCAGAGGATCTTAGAGAATTTGACCAAATTCTTATTTATGTTTGCAGATGATAGGATTATATTTGTAAATTCAGGTAACTAAGGGATCAAGTTAAAATCCATGCTCATTTCCTTGTGCTATGTTTCTTTGTGGAACACACTTCTTCCTAACTGCATCTTTTGCTTAAAAAAGTTTTTAATGTATCAGTTACATTAACATGGACAGCCAATTGCAAAATCTTTAAGTTGTGAGTGATAAAATTAAGAAATTTTGATAAACTTACCTCAGCTACTTTAAATGCTAATAGGGTTCTTAAGTAGTGGCTCATGAAATCATATGTATAAAAATTAGTGAAGAGACATAGTGTGTGTTTATTTGGAAACATGTACATTGAGGAGGTTCTCTGTCCTAAGACTGCTCCAGGTACATCAAATGCTGAACCTATTTTGGGCATGTTATGAACCTCCTGAATGTTCTCTTTCCATCTACAGAAGAAAGAGACTCAAAACAGTGTGGCTTTGTATCAAAAGCTTGAAGTTGTCATTAAAAGTTTTTTGAAGAAGAAACATGAAATAAGGTTTCAGATGCTGCAAGTGACATACATTTTCAGGATGACTGATTAGTAAAATTCTAGCACTTAGTTTATATCCCAAAGAAGCTAGAATTCCTATGCTGATCAAATTCAATCAATTATGACAATAGGGATGCATAGTACAGTGTATTAAGCAATTTTGAGTCTTCATTTGACCTATATTTTCTACATGGTGTATGACATAGTATATTTTCTGGATGAGTGATTTTGGAGCAGGTTCATTCTCAAGTACCCAAAATTCCCAACTCAGGCCACTCTTACATAAGTGTTGCAATTATTGGAAATTTACAATACCACTATAGTCTATGTTTCGGATGCAAGGATATTATCCAAAGTATGTGGTCTTTGTTTTCTGGATGAGGGAATAGATCCAAGTTATGAAAGTCTGCCATTCTCAAGCACACGTACAGTTTATTATTACTGTTTATTCATGTTTTCAAAATGTGTCCCTTTTTCACAGCTGCAGTTAACATCACCGAGCAACCTCCTGCAACATGGAGACAGAAACAAGTATACCAGCACATATTTTACTCCTCTCTATGTGTCTGCATTGTAGCATGAAATGGTGGTGGCCCTATACTATGTTGATTATGTTGATATGCTTATAAATTTTAAGCACATTCCTCCCTTTGTTTATTAGCTCTACTGGTCAGAGACCAGAAGAGCTTATGCGATAGTAAGGTGTCCGTCATCCGTCCGTCTGTCTGTCTGTCTGTCTGTCCGTCCGTCTGTAAACAATTTTTCAAAATGCTACTCCTCCTACAGTTTTGGTCTGATTTCAGTATAACTTGGCACACAAGTAGACTACACTAAGATACATAATTCTGTGTATCGGTTTTTGATTTCAATGAACGGTGTTGCCATGGTTACTAAAAATAGAAATTTCCTTGAAATACATTCAAAATGCTACTCCTCCTACAGTTTTGGTCTGATTTCAATATAACTTGGCACACAAGTAGACTACACTATGATACATAATTCTGTGTATCGGTTTTTGATTTCGATGAACGGTGTTGCCATGGTTACTAAAAATAGAAATTTCTGTGAAAAACATTCAAAATGCTACTCCTCCTACAGTTTTGATCTGATTTCAATATAACTTGGCGTGCAAGTAGACTATACTAAGATACATAATTCTGTATATCGGTTTTTGATTTTGATGAACGGTGTTGCCATGGTTACTAAAAATAGAAATTTCTGTGAAATACTTTCAAAATGCTACTCCTCCTACATTTTTATCTGATTTCAATATAACTTGGCACACAAGTAGACTATACTAAGATACATAATTCTGTATATCGGTTTTTGATTTCGATGAACGGTGTTGCCATGGTTACTAAAAATAGAAATTTCTGTGAAATACTTTCAAAATGCTACTCCTCCTACAGTTTTATCTGATTTCACTATAACTTGGCACACAAGTAGACTATACTCAGATACACAATTCTGTATTGGTTTTTGATTTCAATGAACGGTGTTGCCATGGTTACTAAAAATAGAAATTTCTGTGAAATACTTTCAAAATGCTACTCCTCTTACAGTTTTGGTCTGATTTCAGTATAACTTGGCAAACAAGTAGACTACACTAAGATACATAATTCTTCATATTGATTTTCTGATTTCGATGAACGGTGTTGCCATGGTTACTAAAAATAGAAATTTCCTTGAAATACCTTCAAAATGCTACTCCTCCTACAGTTTTGGTCTAATTTTAGTATAACTTAGCACACAATTAGACTACACTAAGATACATAATTCTCTGTACCAGCTTTGGATTTCAATGAACGGTGTTGCCATGGTTACTAAAAGTAGAAATTTTCTTGAAATACTTTCAAAACGCTACTCCTCCTACACTTTTTGTCTGATTTCAGTATAATGTTTCATACAAGTAGACTACAGAGATACATAATTGGTGTTATTGTTTTTTGATTTTGTTGAATGATGTTGCCATGGTTACTTAAATCAAAATTTCTGTAAAATTGTTTTAAAAGGCTACTCCTCCTACAGTTTTAGTCTGATATAATAATAAATCTTGCCACAAAAGAGACTAAACCAAGGATCATTATTCTGTTTATTGCTGTTGCAAAGTTTCAAGTCAAAGTGCTACTTTTATCTTCCTTTATAAATACAACCAGTAGAGCTACAGTCTCGTCAGAGACTTCTGGTTTTATGACTTGTATTTGTTGATATGTCTTTAAGGATATATGCATGACCTGTATACTATCAAGTATCAACCAACTTTCAGCACATATAATAGAATCTCTTATATTGTGTTGCAAAGATGGCCGCATTGTAAACTCTCTGAGGATCAAATTCTGGCTTTGTAATTTAGAGACCTTGTTGTATATAACTGACAGGACTGCATGCATGACTACTAACCTGTGTAACTGACAAACATATCTTTGTGTCATAGACTGCTTTGGTTAATGTGATTAGAATAGGAATTGTCTGTGTCTTATTGTGTAACTAATTACAACATTTCATGAACATCACTGTGGATCTTCATGTGCATTCTTGAAAGGGAAACACTCAAAGGATTTATGTCAAAATAGACTTGTATTATCTTCTTAGTGAGAAACATAAAAGTCTGGAAGAATTATGATGAAATTATGATCTGTGAGCTTTTATGGGCTCTTTTAAGTGCACTTGATCAAAGTTTATCCATGCCTGTTGTCATTAACTTTTCTGCAATATTGACTTCTTTCCCAGAACCATTTGACAGGAAGAACTATAAACTTAATACAGAGCATCCCTAGGAAAGAGGATTCATTTTTGTTCAAATGGATGGCTGTCCTCTTTCTAATGGAAAATCCTAAAGAATAAGTAGAAATATAGGATTATAAGTACACTAGTACAAGAGGCTCAGATGAGCTTTTGTGATCAAAGCTTAACACAGAAATATACGCATTGGTCATAAATCTTTAGTATGTAGGTAAATGGTTTGATTACAGTTAGTATGATCTGTTTGGTTCAGGTGAGCACTGTGTCAAACCAACAAATCAGGACTCCTGTTGATAAGCTCATTTCCGGAGGAGCTTGTTCTTAAATATTCATAAATGTTTCATATTTTGTTGATTTCCAGAATAACTTGATAAGGTTGACATTTTTATGAAGAAACCTTGCAAGGATTCAAGTTAAATGTTTCATGAAGTCACAGGCTTGCTATTAAGATAGATGATTAGGAAAAAGGTTTCGCTATTTTTGAAGTCTTTAAAAGCACTGTCACTGGAACTCAGACTCATAATGGATTTCAGGCTTTGTTGGGTTAAAAAAAATTGCATATTCATATGAAATAGTGAAAAGTAAAGTATGTTGTTCCTTTTTTGCATAGTATATAAAACTGTTATTAATTACATGTACACAAGTCTAACACAATAACTAGATGCTGCTATCTTCTTCAGTATAATGATCTACCTTGATTGGTTCTATGCATGAAGAACACCAAGGATCTTAGGTTATGTTTCTCTTGTGTTTTAATCTCTGTTTTGTTCTCTCAGTTTATATGGATGGTTTCTACAAATGTATGATTATGGAGCTTTCTTCCAAGGATCTGATGTGCATTTTATTCTCTTTTTGTTGAACAAAAAGATAGTTTCTACAGATGTAAAATTGAAGTGTTTTCTTCTAAACCTTTTGATGTTGGATTCGAGAATTGCATGGTTTTTTGGAAGTCTTGCATGGTTCTTTTTCATTTAAAAATTTGGAAATACTTTAAGCAGTGATCATTATCCTGTTTATGTAGTAAATATGAAGAAATCAAAGGCAATTAATATTCCTAATGAATTATAGCAATATATGGAAAGGGGTGGAAATATCATCAGAGGATATAACTTTATAATGAAGTGTTCAATATTTCTGGTGATTTTATTGGTCCACATCCATTTTAATCAACCAATCATTTTCTTTTCCTGTAGTACAAGGACACCTACTGAGAGATACCTCAACAGAACTCTGATGGTGGCCGTTCCGCTTCAGTGCCTCTTCCTGTTCATGCTTGGGTTGGCTAGTCTTGTTCCGGTCTGTGAGGATGATTACAGTTGTGATCTGATTAACAATTTTGCCAGGTCATTAGGACCTCTGTTACGTTACCTCGACGGACCTCCACCTGTGTGAATAGTTCAGATATTGTGATATCACTATAGTGAAAATTGTTGTTTTTGATGTTTTATAGCTTATTAGATTTTTTTATGTACATATGTATATTTGGACAGTATTTAAGATCCTCACACTTACATATTTGCATTCATGTTTATTTTTAAAAGACGTTTTTTGATAAAAAAAAAATGATGTTTTTGTAAGGAAGTGTATAGAAATTCAGATATTGTTATTTGTTATTTAAATGTAAATTATTGTGTTATATATACATGTATTTATTTCCAAATTTTTTATAAATAAATGTTAAAAGAATGTGTAAGTGTAATATTCATATTTTATCTCTTTATGAAGAAGGTAACCCGACTGGGGTAACTTAGTGAACTGGTAATTCATTTTGGCAAGATTGTGGGGGGGGGGGGGGCAATAATCAGAGGACTATAGGGACTGAGACTGCTCATTATTTTCTTCAAAAACCATATTCATATTTTAATGCTACTATTTGAAGAAAGTAACCTGATTGATTCATTTTGGCAAGTCTGCCATTTTAGTCTATAGACAATTGTGAATCAAGAAAATAAAATGGAAGCTTTAATTTCAAAGTCAGTGGTTTAACTAGATTTTTTCGGTTGCAATCACTGTATTTGACCTTGAGTTAAGGTCATGAATAACTACTTGACAAAATGATATGGACAACAACAAAAAATAATAATAACCCATAACATGAATAACTCCTCCACTTACCTTGTTCCTTCGGGCCAGTATAAAGTCTTTACCTTGAACTGTGAAGAAAAGAAGTGTAAATTAGATATAATTAATTATCTCCATTCCTTCTTTGAAGATGTTCTTATTCAGCTTCTGGTGTCTGTAAGTCGACTGAGAGTAGCGGCATTCCATTATTGAGTGCTTGGTCGATGTATTACATTCCTCTTGTACATAATTAAATGAGTTTACTGACCTTCCGATTATTTAAAATTCAGTACTCATTGTAGTAAGCCTTAATTAATACAGATAACAAATCTTCCACCGTACATGTATTTTTAAAAAGAGATGTGGCTGAGGCCATCATGAAATGAAACGCCAATATAACCTATCTTCAAATAATTGTACCTATCTCCAAATGAACTGAAGATATTTTGATATGTGAATTTGGCGTTCTTTATCTTAAAAAATATATTTTTTAATTCCTCTTCAACCAAGCCCTAAATTTTGAGGTCGGGTAAGTAGGTAAATATTTTTTCCTGACATATGCCCCCCAAAAATATTCTGAATTTAATCTACGCGAGAAGGTTAAAAAATTATGCGGATGAACTGAAAATGACGTCATAACGACAACGGTACCATTCTTGCCGAGCGGCGATAGACAAAACCTAACATTGTGTTTATCTTAATATTTTAAAAAGTATTTTATATAATTAAATTTAAAGGCAAAAATCAAATTAGATAGGGGTATTTGTATATCAAAATTTGTTGATAACATTTGATTATTAAAGATTTTATAACAGTTGTGACATTTACTTAAGGAATAACTGTCTAATTTTTTGGATTCATGATGTGATCAATCGAGTGGCTTGCGTGATAATTTGCATAAACGCCGAAGGCGTTTATGCATAAAATTATCACGCAAGCCAATCGATTGATCATCGTCATGAATCCAAAAAATCTGACAGTTATTTCTTATATTTACATGCTCCTGATTCTGCAAATTCCCGTGCTAATAGCCCCGCTTCTGTCTCTATTTGTCCCGCCCCGCATGCACGTGATTTTTTTTAACCGCGCCTATCGATGAACCAGTAGATTTATGTAGAAATAAAGTATTTTTACAATTTGTAATTTTATCTCGGACAAAGACATTGGAAATGTAAATATTTTTGGATCATCCCTCATACCTTTTATTAATAAGAAAAGTACAAAGGCAAAAACGACTTTAAAACAGAATATCTTTCAAATGGGATTTAAAAACAAAATCTAACAGTAAATTAATTCACAACAATTGTTCATTTGAACTTATGAAGTATCTCAGCCGAATGAAAATTTATTGAAACCGACTATTTAGACAGACAAGAGTCAGATTCCCTGTGACTGGACATCCAATTATATGTATATATATATAATTAATTTATATATTTAATATAATGTATATAATATAATATTTCCATTTCTATTTGTTTTCTCTGTGATAACTCTTTGAAAGTTAGGAGAGTTGATTTCTTGATCATTCTAACGGAATGCAAATTTCGCCAAGCCAAAGGTCAGGAGCTAAGGAGGCCTAATATGCATGAAATTCTCGTGCGGCGGTCTTTGTGTTTGACGTCAGCGGGCGGGGACTATTGAAATTGACATGTGAGACCTCGTGTAATTTAAATCTATTAGTCTACATTTTTAAAATTTAAATTTTATTTCACAATGAAATGGAAATATAAGGAATCACTGTCTAGTTCTTCGCCCGTTATGCAAATTATCCCACGTTTCCAACTATCGTTGATGCCCTGGCATACTCTACTAACTAGACAGTGATTCCTTAAATATATTTTATATATATATATATATATATATATATATATATATATATATATATATATATATATATATATATATATATATATATATATATATATATATATATATATATATATGTATGTATGTATATATATGTATATATATATATATATCATTAGATCAAAATTCAAATGAAATGAAATGCAGTGAGATTGATTAAAATAATATGTACATAAAATGGGCCCCTGATGAGGCGGTCCTTACTCCGTACCTTAATTTTAACAAGACATGTTCTATAAATACCACCGAAACATTCTTAAATATTCTATATATATATTCTATGTATGGTATACTATTATTTTGTTCACCAAACATTTTAAGAGTATAGGATTCTAGTAAGTTTTAAGATACATAATAAGGACCCCGTGTTGTGGGCACCGTTTTGTTTCCAATAAACGCTTGAAAATTGCAACAGAACAAAGTCAAAGTCAGCTCTTCTGAAAAACGGATTAGGATGAAAGAGCGAAAGCCACGAACCATAATATTTGGCCCTATGTTTTACACTATTTATAAACAAAAACGCGTTAATTTTTGAGTTAGGGCCATGCATTTTTGATGCTTTGTGACTCTTGCTCTTTGATTTCATGACGTTGATATAAAATATTTCAGTACACTTATTAAAAAATAAATAAACTTTTTCACTCAGATCGATTTAATCGGGTTGGTTCTGTTAGGGGAAACAAAGGTATTGTTTATTTTGGCCTGAGCAACTCCTTCTAGGTGACGCAGTATTTTTGGTTATAATGGCATACTGAGTGTTCGACTAACTGTAACGGTACATATTGTCATCCTGTACATATTGGCGGCGGCGGCGACAACTTGCACCTAACCTGTATTGTCGTCCATCGGCACATATTGTCGCCGGATGAAAAATTATACAATAATGTGCAAATTGTCATCAGCCAAAATATGTGCGAACTTTCACTGCACATATTGTCGCCCCACTGCTAGGAAAAGCCTAAGAATTTGTTGTAGTTCTTTGGACATAATTGGTGTTTAAATTACACAGACTTGTCATGTAAGCATATTTCAAGAAGCTTGGTAGTGCACAGTAGTCTGTGTTTCTCTGTGTATATTGATATATGTGAGTTTACACACACACATAAAACTGTATTCAAATTAAACATACAATCAGTTTTCATAAAATTGCATGTTCACGAAAAGAAAAATCAATGTTTTTAACAAACAATTATCGTTTTTCAACTCTACTAAAGCAGCTGCAACAAAATCCTTTATTTTAAGACAAAGTGTCGTCGGTGACAATATTTATAGGGCGAAAAAATGATCCATCACACTAACATATGCTATGACTTTCTCGACCCTCCCTGTTTTCATTTTAACAAATATTCCTGTAAACTTTGGTGTCTATGTTGTAGGATTGTGTAAATGTTTTGAAATCTTTATGAAATCAAATGCAAAATATCTTAAACAATTTTATCCCTGTAGGAAGATTGCATAGCGTTTCTGCTAAATTTGGAGAAACTTAAGAGCCCTCTATTCACTGCACACTAGAGAGTTCTGATTTTGTGGTATTTTTATGCAAATAGAGTGATCTGCCCTTTGATCAAGAATAAAATAAATTGAAATGTACAATTTATTACTTAATTTGTTATCAAATCAAGCATTCATAACACTTTAATAGGCCAAGATGAATAGATAGAACACTTCATTTGCAGATATTTTGCCCACTTACGTAAACAACAGTGATTTATGTTCATCAGTACTTCATTGTCTTTGAACATTTTTCCTGGGGGTAAATGCAAGGCACCCTATGTTGAAAATGTGATAGATAAGCTCAAAACTTACACCTTTACACACTACAATTTTCTCAATGTCCAAAAAATATTTTCCTCTAGTGTACAGAAGGTCCTTAAAACAACAACAACAACAAAAACGTGCATTGCTGTGCCCTGTAATTCACCTATTCCTGTGATAAAGCAGTACTGCGTTGTACACAGTGTTTGACGATTATTTGGATATTTGTATATTAATTGTCACATACCACCATGGTTGCCGTAATTAAACCCAGACTAATATTCAAAGAACAGCTGATTGTGGTACAAAGTACAAAATGTGTGTGTTTAATTTTAAACGTCTTTCCTCCTTATAAACCCACATCGGAACTTTCAAACTATTTTATGGCATAATACCGGAGTACTGCGTCATACAAGTGTTTGCAGATGTCTCAATCGCTAGTATGTATATATGTGTGTACTAAATACTTAACTCTCACATTCCACCTTAATTAAACCCAGATTAATAATTAAACAACTGACTGTGGTACAAATATATTTTTTCGCAGGTCTAATCGTTTCACCGCGTTAAGTTTCGAATCACATGCAGGTACTTGATGTTTTAAACATCTTCTTGATAAGTTTATACTACACAAAATTATAAAATGGGCCTATAGAATTTTTTCAACTATTAATACAATGTTTAAAACGTCAGAGTACCTGTAGTTAGAATGACCTATGTTGCGAAAGGAGAAGCTAATAAATCTATGCAATTCATGTATATAATTCTGGTTTAATAAGAAACCATGTCGTAGTCTAATTTTGAAAGTAAAAGAAATTTTCTTCTTTGTGGAATTTAAAGTTGCAATATACATGTATATATTTCTCTCGTTTTACAAAATATAAAGTAAAATCATAAGGTCCATTCCAGTCAATGTTTAAAATGTTTAATTTTCAATATTAAACTGGCTTATTTTATACAAAAAAGTCTTACAGTTGCCATAGGTCAGGTCAAAGATGTTCTGTGAAAAACATGGGAAAAGGAGAAGAAAGTAATTTGTGTAGCGTAGTTTTTTTTAATTATGAGTCCCCGGCGTTAGATTTGAGACAAAATCAGAGATCCAAATTTTACATAATTTACATACATGTGCACAAGAAAAAATATTCTCCAAAACAGCAGGGCTAAGTTGATCGTATTGGTATTAAAGCAAACCAAAATTGTGTTGATTTAACTTTGAATAAATCATAACTCCATTCGATCTAGATTTTGGTCCACAACAGGAAGTCAAAATATTTATGAAATTAAAAAGGGAAATTAAAAAAAAATCTGCTTGGCCAAAGTGTCCCGAGTGAGCGTTGTGGCCCATGGACCTCGGACAACTCTGGAGATAAGTTTTCTTATACTCCAAATTCTTCACATAGCTTGGAACATTTCGTTTTAACTTCCCATACAATTCAGACAAAACAAATAAATAAATTAATTAATTTAAAAAAATATATATGATTTTTAATCTTCACATTGGTCAAATGCACGCACATTACATGAACGAACAGCATGATAAGGAGAAAGTAGGGCTATATTTGGGACTAGTCGGTTTTATTCTCGCTCGATCAAATGCGAAAAATCTTCTTTATACATTAATAATATCTACACCTCAATAGACCTAATATAAATGCAATGATATTTAATACTTCCCAACGGATAAGAATTGTGTCTTACTGCCACAAAAGAAAATGGGTGGGTAATGGATAATAATTTATATTTTCAGACAATACAATTTCCTACATCAATTTATTTTTGAGACAAAATTATATCAAAATTATATCGTTTGCTTCTTGTAATCAGTTTTCTTGGTATTTTCTGATCCTTTGAGACAAATACATGTACAGTCGGCCCATTTTCAATTTCGTCCCCGGGAGTATCATACCGTATCTTTTTATAATTGCAAACGCCGTTCATGTCTATTAACATTTATTTGAAGTGCCCGTAGTCAAATGAACGAGACAACCAAATTAACCAAGCATCTTAAACTGATTTTGTTTTTTCATTATTTTTTCGCTGGTGCTACTGTTAAACAAATCAGGGGAGTTAACTTTCGGAAAATGCTGAACAAATGCTAAGACTCTGTTGAAGATGTTGATACACATGGTATATACGGTCATGTATAAAATACAAAAAAGAAAGAATGTGAAACGAAGGAAATTTCTTTCAGGGTGTGTGTTTTGGACATCCTTACTCAATTTTTTGACTTGTTTCGGAATATTTGTTTTTGGTCCGTCGACAGCTATTGATTAACTCTGTTCTTTGTCTACCACGTTCTTCCGGATAATGTCACTTCCAGACAATGCCACAAATATCTTGCACCAAACTTCCTTGGTCACAGATGTAACTGCAATTAAGAAGAGAATGCAAAGAACTTCATTGTAAGCATGAAAGAAACTCCTACATATTATATTCATTGCCACTTTTTGCAGTTTGTATTATTTTTCATAGTTATGAAACAAGTGTCAGTCGTCGGTCCTTCGGAAGCAATTTCATTTTGGGCAAGGGGGGGGGGGGGCACTACAACAGAACAGAGGAAATTCCTTAATAATTAAGCAAGGGCACAACCATATATATAATTTAGCTCTGGTTTTGCTATACAATAGTGTGAACTATAGCATTGATTTTCTACTGCTTGGAATATACTGGCAGAGTTTTGGGAGGGGCACGCTTCTCCCCCGGTTCCTGCGGGCCTGAATTGTTATTGCCTCCTGCATGTGTCACACATTAAGTCTCACTAACAGAGGACGGGAAAAAAACCCAAACTTACTGAAAAAACTGTCTAGCACAGCGAGAACCAAGCGATCAGACGCATCCTAAAATTACATACTGATCTCCTACACGGAGAAGGATTGCATGTCACAAACCATTAGGAACTACACACAACGCCAAACTGAACTTATTGAGATGAAAGCAGGATCATACGAACCGTGCCTCTGAAAGGGAGATGTGTAATTGTTATTTTATTGTTAAATTCATTTAAGTATCAGCACCTTTTATCAATTATAGTGTAGTGATCTTTTTTTTGTGTGTCAAATATTGTGATATCAAGACTGATTGCTGAAGAATACGGTGACGACCATTTTTCAATGCTCTATAATAGATGGGATATATCATACTAATGGGTAAGAAGAGAGAGAGAGAGAGAGAGAGAGAGAGAGAGAGAGTATTTGTGTAAGTTTAATGATCTAGAGAATATTAGCATCTCTTTGTTATATATTCCCTAATCAATTTATCAATAAAGTTTCTCCTAAGGAAATAACTAGCTGATGTGTCTATATACAACACCGAAATGAACCATATCAAATATTTAAGAACGCATTGTTGACGTAAAATGAGGACCCGGAAAACCTCATTTTGCATCTGTTTACAATCGATATTTTCAATTGGATAGAAAAAGGGCTATCAAGGGAATCGTTTTTACGTAGTTTTGTCCTGTAGGAGAATTTGATGTAGTGTGTAGAATTATGTTTACACTGGACAAGTCAATTTTGTGAAGCACAGCTCATCAAACTAATTCATTTTGAGTCTTTGATCTAAATTGCATCCTTGATGAAGATAATTGCCACCATAAAACCAGTACCTTTCTATTTTTTTTTTAATGACGAACGGTTTCCCTTTTCCTTCGTATATATATTTATTACTAAACTTGACGCTATCCCCGGCACTGATGGTTTGGTTTTTATATATTAAAGTTGTAGAAATCGCGGAGTGACACAACTGTTCTACAATGCCATAATTATCTAGAGCAATCAAAACTTTAATCCCATTCTTAAATATCACAATGATGTGGATGGAAATCAAATACTCCAAAGCCTTATCAATTTCAATTTGATGCATAATTGTGCACAATAGTGGTATTAAAAAAAAGAAAATAATATATCAACAGATCAGAATTTTGAACCTATATTTTCATCTTTGCTTGAATGTCCCTATTAATAATTAGATTCATGATATTAGGATATTCATATATGTACAATTAAGCCGGGAAAATGAAATAGGGTACGGCTTGCATATCAAATTTTTGAAATTTCAGAGATCGTTTTTCCATACATTTTCCTGTGTAACATTTTCAAGCATTACTGTATCATGGCTCAGATTTGCAATTATATTGTTATACTTAGTACATGCTCCTCTCAAACTGCTACAATTTTGAAGACGAGAATAAGCTTAATTAACTTTTCTGCATTTTTAGTGCAGTATTTTAAAAGTTCAAATTTCTTCAGATTACTTAAGTTTTAGGATGTAAATATTAGTTCAATATTTTTTTAAAAGTCAAACTTTTTAAAAAAAATTCTTTTTTTTAAGCTTAATCAGAATCATTTTGAAATCTAAATACTCTGGAATACCAAACAACTTTTTTGAAATCTCGACCTTCTCATTTTTACATAAAAATATTTAAAAATTCAAACATTCAAATCCGAAGCTTTCTGCTGTTGACAAAAACGGATGTTTCCCCCCTTCCCCACATATCCTTGGACATTGCCATATGAATTTTTTAACATGACCATGACATGACCCTTAGTGCATAATTAAGAGTCAGAATTATGATACAACAACAACAAACCGAAGTTTGAATTAATTCCAATCCAGGATTATAAACTGACCATAACTACTTTAATCTAATAATTATATTTGCCCCATGAACTTGACCTCGAATATATGACCCTGAATCTAGATTGTGAAACACGGTAATACAATGTTGAATGTATTTTAATCAAAGCTTCCAAATTTTAGCCCGGATATCATTGTTCGATGACATTGATCTTGGGTTAAGATAATGAAATAATTTTAAAGTCATAAACAACAGCTATGCATTAAACCACACCTTAGATTCATGGTCAATAGCATGTACGAATTCGAATTCCTTCCATCAAGGGGTGAAGAAATGAAGAAGAGTGGTCTGACTGGAGAAGATTTTGCTACAGTCAGCCAATCATGCCAAAAACAGTCTCAATACACATAAATCACGCGAGAGTTTGGGTCTTAAATTGCATTCAATGATTCTATTAACATATAATCACACTGGCATGAGCATTTTTATTTAATCCTGTATCTATGTATTATTTTACTGTGCTCCTTATTATGTAGCAATTCTTATCTTGATTTCCGGCATTAAATTTTCGGCGAATTTTTGAGGGAAAATATTGTGAGACAGACTCCTTGATTTAAATATCACATCCCTGATACAGATAACTAGTACATGTATTTTACTTTTCTTTATAATAACAAATATTTTCCTTTTTAATTATTTTAACTATTGTAGGAAACTGACTTGCATTTGACAAATACCATTTTTTGTTAATGCGGACCTCAATTTTATAAGGAGCTAAAAATATTTTTTAAAAAAATAAATGCCTTTTAAATAACCTTGAAGCTTGATCTAAAAAATAAACAATACACGTATTTCTGATGAAAATCTTTCTATAGATGCTACTGTTTTAAAACGTGTAATTATGGAATGAAATTCTCCAGATCGTAAATGATATGCAAATTAGATAACCATGTAAAACCAGTCTCTGTTATTTAGATATATTAGATTAAGATCCCCTGTGTTCAAACAATGTCTCATGCATCTAAGGATCTGGGTCTGACTAAACAGATTTGATAAAAATCATAAATAGTGGCCTCTTCAATATGGGGAGGGGGGGGGGGGTCAGTTGGCCAAAAAGGAGGGGAAAAACATAGATGTCAGTGTTGCATCAAAACAGTAAGTATATATAATACCCATTATTAGAATTTAAGGAACATCTCTTCAACATTGAATTTTTTAATTTTATTTATTTCATTTGAGATTTGGAAATAACCAAACATTACAGGGGTCCTCTAAAAATTCTTCATATGCTTGAAATACAACCACAAGTCTCCGTATATTTCATGATGAAATCGATCTACTCTATATCACCAAGTTTTCGCAACATAATTTTTCTTTCGTAATTTGGTATTTCAGAGCGAGGAAAAAAAATCTCGAATTTGGTTATTGTTGAATATAATCTTTGATAATACAAATATATGCGAGAATTATTTTTTCGAGATCGAGCAGATCTCATGTTATTATGCAAAAATAAAATTCTGTCGAATAAAAAAAAATGAATTACGTGATTTATGTGATCTACGTGAATTATGTGATTTACGGTATATATATATATATATGCAGCCTTGAAAGACTACACCAAGATGAAAAACGAGATTATTTCATTTTAGCTGCCACAAAAAGATAGACAGTTATATAGTTGAGAGACCTACATATGCACATTTATAGAGCTTCGTAATCTACAGAAAAGCTAGCTGAAGATGCCAACATCTAATTCGATAAGGATCAAGCTTGCAACATTTATGAGACATCAATCTAGATTTATTAGATATTTATTAGTCCCCTCCCGGTGAAACCGGAGGGAAAGAAAGGTTTCCTCTCCGTCAGTCTGTCTGTCCCTCTTCGTTGAAGAAGACTTCTTTTTTCTCTATGCTTGCAGGCATTGAGCTGATTTTTGGTATTCTGAGTCCACCTTGGGGTGTTACAGATCAAGTTTACGCGATCTTTCATTTCAACAAATCGTTGGCATTCTAGATTTGGGGTGAGCTCAGTAAAAAGCGAATCAGTGATATTCCTCCTGAGAGTTTAATTTGAAGAATGGATCTCAATTCTTACAGTTTTTACTCACGTAATATCGTTTTAGCAAGAAAAAAAATTGAAACTGAAATATCTTTGAGTTGGAGTAGATTCTATTTTTTTTTTTTTATCAAACAATTTTTAAATAATACATTACTATGGAACAAATTGAGTGTACTATAACAAAAAGTGTGCAGTTTGGAACGAAGTGGGGGGGGGGGAGGAGGAGGGCAGCCCCCCTCCCCGATACAACATGCCTGTAAATGCAGATTGTCCCGGATAGAAAGGGAAAGGTCACTGAGAGTGTAAAAATTCTGTTAGACCCAGGGTCCCAAAGGTCATAAATAAAAGACAATTCTGAATACGAAGCAGGATACAATATATAGAAATTCAAAGTACAAAGTGTACTCATGGGAGTTGAACTTTTCAAACACCTAAAGGACAAAAATTATCAAAGTAGTTCCGATTTTATTAAAAATATGTATTCCTGACTTGGACAGGTTATGCAATAGGCCTTAGTCTTAACCTTCAACCACAACTTGTCTATCCAGCACCCAGTGTGGTATTATTGGTCAAATATTGATTTCGGTTTCACAATGCTCATGAACATGAAAACAAGGGGGAGGGGGATTTAACGAGGATTTATTCACATACAACAATTCTTTTTTTTTCACGAAATGTAGAGTAAAATCGAAATATATATTTATAAAATGTGGGTGTTAGATTTCTTCAGTTGATGCATATACATGTAGACGTATATGAATGTCAGTCTTCAGAGTAAATTGACTCACAAAGAAGTGAAGCTGTGTATATATAACCTAAATAAACTATGACCTAAACAGAATATCGCGTGGTTTGTGCTTGATAGCTCGAGGAGATTGAACATAAATTCAACTCTAAAACAATTATTGATAAATTTGGTGCAGATAAACCAATGATTGTCGAGACAGCTGTTTTCTTTGAAATCCAAAGGATAGAATATTGACAATTCACTTGAACGATACGAAAAGACTAATACCAAAGGATGCTTATTTGATAAAAAATGGTTTCTGGTAAAACGTCTGATTTGCTTACAGATTAACTTGATCATATGAAAGTTCTATGATAGACATTCTTATTTGAAATGGCTACCAATTGGAAATGATTCTGCCATAAGAAATGAAATTCAACCTGTCACAAGGATTGTATACACATATAGCAAAGCTTGGGATGGCATAAAGTGGACGATGATTATCAAATTTTATTAACATTTATCCCCTATAAGTATTGTGGTTTCTCCCCAGCCCCAGAGGCCAAAAATTGAACAAACTTACATGTGTAAATCATAGTACGTGGTGATCATGCATAGAGTAAAATCATATTTTTTATTATCATTTCTAGAGTACTAGTATGATTATTTAGAATATTTTTTCTATTCTTATATCACTGAAAATAAAATTAAAATTGATTAATGAATGAATGAAGGAATAAATAAATAAATGGATAAATAAATAAATTAAAAAAAATAAATAGATAAATAATACGTTTGTATATAACACGTCGAGGATACTTTCAGTATATTGGACTTTTTTAATGAATTGAAGTGTAAAAAGTATCAGAAGAAAAAAAATTGTCAAGTAAAAGCAACATGTTGCCACTACAGAAAAGAGTTATTTTTGCTTGTCTGACGTATGTGTTGTTTTTTTTCCACCTGTTGGTTTTTTATTAAGGTTTTTCGTCTTTCAGTGAAATTCCAATTCCTACTGTTTATACCTCCTGTTTCTTGTTATTAATGCATTAGGATTTACCTTGGAATTTATTATCTTTCTCGTTCCCGGTAGCTCAAGAACAAATTAGCGATTTGATGATATATTATAATAGAGACATTTGCGTCTTTTCTCAAAGACCACTTGTGGATCTAGATATATCGAGGATAAATTTGATTTCTCCAAAGAAAGTTGAGATAGAATCATGAAATTTAAAAAATGGTGATAGATATATCTTTCAGTTTTATGTAATATCATTTGCCTCAGAATTTCGTTGGAACTTTCCAAGGAAAAATAAAATCTTGGGATTTTAAAAAAAAATAAGGTTTCCATTTTCCTCAACAGATGTGACGAACAGACCTTATGCAGCAATCGTAACTACTCGGCCATTTCCGTAACTGGAAATAATGGTCACGGAAAAGGGCGAGTGTGATCCTATTACAAAAGTTTTTCTCGTTTGAGCCACGAAGAAAGGAATGGCTTCTTAAGATTAAGCATCTAGCGCAATGAAAGTTTCTTTCTAATATCTAACAGCATTCAGGATTTCTTCATGCATTATAGAAGAAATTTGTTTGTTTGATGTTGTGGAAATCATTAACCCACCTGATCCAAAGGTTTAAGGAAGCTTTTGAGATCAAAGTTCGTCAGTTGTCTGTTGCTTTTTGTCTGTTTTTTTTAACTTCTCCTTCTGAACCCCGTGTCAATTATAACTAAACGTTCCACAAAACATCACAACAGGTAATGAGGATTCAAATAATTAGTCAATTTTGATTGCCAAACCCATTTCTGATGGGAGCTAATTATAAAATAATGGAAATAATATGGGGTCACTTAGATTCTTCATTTCTAGAGCCATCAAGAGCAGTGTCAAAGCTTCCTTGGGGTATTTATTGAATAATAGCACAGAAATTAACACTCAAGTGAATTTTCAAAGCAATGAATTAGTTTAAAAAAATATATAAATTAAATTACAGGTGTCATGTTGTAAATTTTGAATTCACCGGGTGGCAGTAAATACAAAACTTAGCACATGACAAGGAAGTCATTGAAAAGTTCAAGTATAGTATTTAGTTATTTTCAAAGTAATAGTTTTTCTGTTTCATTTCAGAACTTAAAATACCATTACTTTGGTACTACAGATTGATAACAGCACTAATACTATTTTGTACCGATAAAACTGAAGGTATGTAATTCTTCTTTTTATGTTACTTAATTTTTAGCTCATCTTGAACCACATGTGAGCTTTTCTGATCGAAGGGCGCTTGGCAAGCTGTGAATTCATATTTTTATTTTCTTCTTAAGAACTTTGCCAAATTCAACCAAACTCAGAATATTTTAAGACTATGTTGATATTAATGAAGCATTACATTTATAAAGTTCGTTGTCAGAATACTTGTCCATCTATTCAGGTTTTTTTAAAAAATCTATTTAAATCCTATTTTACAGCTTTGAAATACACTATAAAAGATGATAAAAAACTGACTATAACACTTTTTGGCAGAAATGGTTGTTATATTTTATTTATTATTATTTTTTTTTTTGGCAATCACTTTAATATGTTACAAGTGAATCCCTCAAAACTGCACTGTTCTAGCTGTTTTTTCTCTTTTTTCTTTTTCTTTCTCAATCGCGAGCTTAAATGAAACTGAATATGTTCAAGACAATAACGAAAAGTTAGAGCTTCTCTCTCTCTTTCTCTCTCCTAATAAAGTTTTACACAGAGTTTGAATAAATTTCAACTAAAATTAGTTTCTATTCGGATTCTGTTTGTACATATATCTACATATATGTTTGTACATGTATTTGTAATATGTGTGAAAGTTTCAATAAAAAAAAATCAACCAAACTTAGCATAAACCCACAATTGATAGCGTTTTGTTCCTCCTCGTCACCCGGTTATTACGCTTTGTTCTTCTCTCCATCACCGGGCGATGAAGAGAAACGAAGCGCAATCAACTGTGGTTTGTCGAGGATGAGTACAGAACACTCTGGGACTAATGAGATTCAAAGTAAGATTTTTTGCTTACCTGCTTAAGATCCCCGAGAGAAAGCTGGGATGTTTAGATCTCCCATCCCCAACATCAGCAATAAATACATTTATCCCCCCCCCTCCCCCTATCCATCCCTTTATGTACGTATTATTCAATTGAGAAGAAAAGTATTCGGTCTATACAAAAGTTCTTACTACCCCCCCCCCCCCCCCCGCTTTATTAGTACATGCTTATTATTACTGATCATCTCCAGTTAGTGCTCTCCTGACAAATTAAGTTCTTTGTTGTCATCAGACATCACCTTTCTGAAAGAAACTCTACATAAACTTTATACATTGAGGCTAGTTAAAATTTTCATTGAAAAACCTCTGGTCAAGGATAAACATGATAATATGACACATGTCACTTAATCTGTATACTTGTGCAAATAATCAGTGATATTAATATATTATGTCATAATTCCTAGGCAGTCGGCATCATAATTGGTAAATAAAATATATATCTTCTAAGCTGTGTACAACTCGGCTTCTTGGTGGATGACATCTGGAAGCTATCACTATTATCATTCTTTATCATTCTTGGTGCACCCGTTTAAAGAAAACATATTTTGTATAATGACAGCAACTTGAGTCATGCGCATTTTGGCGACTTCATGCATTCCTCTGCATACCTTAATTGTCTCCCTGGCCAGAAGTCGACAGATATGTACATCATGATTTATATAAGTAATTAGAGAATGCACAAAGGAAATTCTTCATTCGTTGATAAAATAAATTTTAATGGAACTACCAGCTTTAAAAAAATCCAGTACCTATGCACATCCCTAATTTTTAGCAGTCTCTTATAAGATATTCACAGTTATTTACAATACCCAGTGCTTATGCTTTGAATTTACAGTCATAATCTGTATCCAATAGTCTCTTGCTACGAAATACTACAGTTACCAACATGTACAGTTGCCCCAAGGACACTTTGAGCAGCCCAGAGTGACCTACATGTATGTTCCCCACCCCCTTACAAGCCCATACACAGGCCTTGAGCCTCGATCCTGACTGGCAGAACTACTGCAGTAGATAGAGTTTGAAGAGATTTGTTGTTAATTGAATGTGCCCTTTCGTTTGCACTATCTTTCAGATAAAACAACCCAAAATGAACACGGTGGCAGAGAATTATTATCATCGAGATGTAGGCGAAAGAACATGTTGTTATAGCTCTACTAGAATAAAATCAAGATGACATTTATGTGAACATTTTGATTTATTAGGTAGGGGGGATTTGTTTGTGGTAACAAAAAAATATGACCTCACATACCATCTGGAAAAAATAAAGAGACGAAGTTCTTTATAATATCTATTAATTAACTGTATTTCTATTATGAATTAATTATAACACCAATATACAACTTTTGCTTAACCTTGATTAAGAAACTGTGTGTTCTAAAACAAGTGGCGTGTGGACCCCAACGCTCACTTGAGTCGTTTTGACCCTATACTCATTAAAAAGAAAATTAAAAAGATTTTCCCTGTATTATCATGAAAAATGTGACTTTATTTTAATTGTGGACCCATCCTAACCCAAAGCATTGTGGGCCCCATCCTACCCCCGCGGACCGCGATTAATCAAAAATTGAATCTTTACATGTACTATCCGAGGATGTTTGTCCATATGAATATTGATACGAGTAATCGTGGACTAACTGACACTGTACTTTGAAACTGTATGATATATACGATTACCACACAAATACTATGAAAATACTTCAAGATCGTTATACCAAAATGAATCATGGTTCAAGAAAAATTGAAGACTGAAAAATGCACTAAAGACAGACTGAAATCTATTTCTAGTCACTAATATGGGGGATTGTTGGATTATTGATAAATAATTATATCTAATAATTTCAATTTCATTATTCATTTTAGCTTCGAAGGTTGGGGGAATCATATTTCTATTTGATATAATAAATGTTATTCTAGCGCAGTCTTACTATCTGTGGATTTTTTTTCCAGGCAAATGTATAAACAATAAAACAAGCAGCAAATAAATATCCGACCACTCTAAGATTATTTTACGTCTTTAATGATGCTATAAAGCAAGCGACACATGCGTTCCTTGGAACACTCTAGATATTATATAAGCATGTATTCCAGTACAAAACTTTGTTTGTGTATCAGTAAGACTAATTATGTTCCCCCTATTCTTGAGAAGGTTTTTGAAAAGGTTATCCCTATATATACCCATCCAAATCTCTCATTGTGACCCCAGCCTACCCTGGGTCCCGTATGATTCGAACAACTTGATTCTACACTAGCTGAGGATGCTTGCATATTAATTAATGACTGTCATAGTCATGTTGTTCATGAGGAAAAAAAATCATAGATTTTTCCCAAATGTACCCATCCAAAACTTTGATCCCCTATTGTGGCCCCATTACATCTTACTCCGGGTGACATGATATGAACAAACTTGAGTCTACACGTACTGAAGATGTTAGCATATTGTAATATGATTCTTGTGAAGATTTTAAAGATTATTTTTAAAATTTCCTATATACATGTTTTTCAATGTAAAACTCTATCTCTTATTGTGAACCCAACTTACCCCCAATGGCCATGATTTAACAAAATTGAATGTACACTACCTGCAAATTAACACGAAAAATCATGGCCCAGTGGTTCTTGAAAAGATTTTTTAAAAGATTTATATATTCCTATGTAAAATTTTTTATCCCCATTGTAGCCTCACTCCACCACTGATGGCCCTGATTTAAACTTAAATTCATACTATGTCAGGAAGCTTACAAGTAAGCTATCTTTTCCGGCTCAATGATTTTTTTAAGAAACACACCCTATTTTGCTTTTTCTTGATTATCTCCCTGTTCAAGACGGCATGACCCTTTATTTGATCAACTTGATTCCCTTTATCCAAGGATACTTAGTGACAAGTTGGGTTGAAACTGGTCTAGTGGTCTCTGGAGAAGAAGTAATGAGGAAAGTTAACAGATGGACAAACAAACGACGGATAATAGGTGATCAGAAAAGCGCGTTTGAACCTTTGGTTCAGTTGAGCTTACACCTCTGCGGAATGTTTCTGGCTTCACACTGACTAAAGGGGGTGTACAATTTAAACCACATCACATTTACGCAATAACTCACGGTTTATGTGTATTTCTAAAATGAAGAAAAGGGAGGGGAAAATATCAATGTTTAAGTAGTTTGGAGTAGAAAACATTTTTAAAATCTTATTCGTAAAACTCTCAGACTTCAAATTCCCAAAACAGGAATGGCAACAACGATAACATCTTAAATGAGTATTAGTGTATGAAGTGTATGGAGATAACGAACGGTATTCAAGCTCAAAAGTCCATTCAGACAATACAAATCAGGAGCAGAGAAAACACTGACCTCTAAAACATCAGAGATAGGATCAGGTGCATGAAGGTTGTTGCAGTTTTAGTGATAATTCGTACACTTTAAACCCCGAGGGAAATCGAACATTATCATACTTTCTTTTCTCTCTAATTATTTCCCCAATCCGATCCTCCTTACGCATAGTTTCACTGTATACCTTGGCCACGGGGACCAAAAAGACGACACCCACACTGATCTCTCAACGTTGGAAATTATTAATATTATTTAAATTGACTCGTGGAACATCCCACTGGAAAGCTCGGGCACGGTATTAGGTAGTTAAATGACCATGAGTTTTGATACGAGTCAGATTTGAGAGGTCATACCTAAGGGCTCAATTTACATTATGAAATTTTAGTCTCAATGTTTCGAACCTCCTAAATATATTCCTTTCACCCACATTTAAAAAAAAAAAGATCTGATTATTTTAACAAATACACAAAGGCAAGAATTCTTGAAACACAACTATCTAGACCTCTTCAGGGAAAGAATTAGGAAAATAACAAACTTAAGTAAACTCCACTATTCAACGGTATCGCGCAATATTCTGATACAAAAACATCATCAAATTTGTTTTACGGCTCCTCGGCATCATCCAGACGGACTGTAGGGATGAAATCGAAGATGTTTTCGTGTCAAAAATAAAGCATAATTCACCATTATAGTAAATATACTAACACCATATGTGGCTTGGAAAATTTCGTTCGTGTTAGATTCATATCTGTATCAGATTTTTATAGATCTAGTATTAACTAAAAACTTGCATCAAACCATTTATTGTTTTAGCAGAAATTTTCCATTAACCCTATATTCATGCAGAAAATGAGTTATAATGTATAATGTAGCCTCTGCCAGAACTGAAGTTTTTAGGAATTCAAGTTTCAAAATCTTCAGAGTTTCATACCCTTAAGGCTACCATGTAAAAAAGAAATGGTTTATAAACACAGACTATATTTTTACTTACAGGAGTTTATTTTTTTATGTCTATGCATATTTTAAACATAAAAATAACCTTGCAAACAATTTTGAAGACTTCAGTTATTATGTATAGATCGCAATATCTGTCAGCTGATAACCCATTAAGAAATGGTTAAAGTCAAGATCTTCGCACTTGAATAAAAGTTCTTGTGACACGAAAGATTGACACAACACTGATTTAGGTTTATGTATCCAAGGTTAAAAGTCACTTCAAGGAAAAGTATGTTGTTTACTCTACATGAGCGAAACATTTAATGAGTTATTCTATTATGATTTTTAGCTCACCTCGACGAAGTCGAGATGAGCTTATGCTATACCCCCGGCGTCGGCGTTAGCGTCGGCGTCCCGGTTAAAGTTTTAGGAGCAAGTCCCATTCCCAAGTAACTGTTAGCCCTTTCTGGACCAAACTTGCATGGATGTTGCATCTAGGGATGGACACTACCACATTTGCTTCGGATGCTGGATCTGACCTAGATTTTTCAGATGAGTGACCAGGTTAAAGTTTTTGGAGCAGGTCCATTCCCAAATAACTATAAGCCCTACCAGGACCAAACTTGCATGGATAATGCATCTAGGGATGTACACTACCACACTTGCTTCGGATGCTGGATCTGACCTAGATTTTCCACATGTGAGACCAGGTTTAGATTTTGGAGCAGTCCCGTTCCCAAGTAACTATAAGCCCTACCTGGACCAAACTTTCATGGATGATGCATCTAAGGATGGACATTAACCAACCTGCTTCGGATGCTGGATCTGACCTAGATTTTCTACATGAGTGAATTTTAGCCATATTTTAACCAAATTAGCATGGATGATGTATCTAGGGATGGACACTAACAGACTTGCTTTGGGTTCTGAATCTGACCTACATTATCCGTTGAGTGACCAGGGTAATTTTTTTGGTGTAGCTATATAATATTATGGCCTGTTATGATTAAACTTGCATAGATGGTGCATCTAAGGATGAAAACTTCCAGACTTGCTTTGGATGTTTGAACTGACCAAAATTTTCTTGATTACTAAACAGGTTAAAAGTTTTTTGAGCAGGTCTATTTCCAAGTAACTAAAGTCCTACTTAAACCAAACTTGCAAGGATATTGATCTTGGGATGTTCCTTAACTAGAAAAAAAATATGATGTGAAATTTGCCTTACTTATAGATAACATTCGTCGAGGTGAGCTTCGTAATCTTTGATTACCTATGTTTATTTTGTTTTGGTCACGGTTTTACAGGAGACAAAATAGTGTCAGGGGTCTTGAGTCGACACGTGGCCTTGGGAACCCTGATAAACTTCATTCAATTTTTTCCAGGCCAGCTTCTCTCATTGAGAAGCACCAATCATGCAAGTTGGGGCTTTCATAAGATGACATTTTATCAAGCAATTGATATACCCTAAATGTATGTGTTAACTAGAAGTTATTTGTCACCGAAAGGCTTAATGTGATTGGTCGAGAAATAAGCAAAAACAACCAGGATTTTTAATTTCCCCAAAAGCTGGTCATGCAGCCCGTAAAAATGTGAATGAAGTTTGTCAGGTCTCCAACGGCCGCGAGTGGACTCAAGTCCCCTGACATTCTGAGGATGATAGACGGCTTAATTCTTAGAGTTGATACAGGGACCAGGGTCCTTTTGCTCTTTACTTTTCAATTACTTCGAACCATTAGGTTTAAATTAACTATTTATACGATTTAAAAAGTATTTGTATTCATTGTAGAGAGTCGACAACATGTGTGTTGGTCTAAATATTTTTTTTTTTATTTCGGAGCTATGACGTGTATAGAAAAGTACGAAAGTCATTCGATGACCTTCTAAAGATCCAATATGACGGATGTTTAAACCTGTTTTATATGCACATAAAATAATAAATTTCTTTAAAACTAGTAAAAAAAAATATTTTATTTAAAGCTATTAACTTTTACTAAAAATGAGGAATTTTAAAACATATCGAGACGAGAGAAAATCACTATGAAAAACTACTGAGCCTTTGTCAATTGAGCCTTAACGGTTCATAGTTACATGAACATGTTTAGTCTGTTTATAGTCTTCAAAGACACATAATTACAAGTACAAATGTGTAAGGAGTTCAATTATTCGCGGAATGTAAATATTGCATTTAAATCATCGGTTTTGTTTAAAAAAACAATTAGATATCTCAAGCGAACAGAATATTATAACAGATATTTCTAAGCGAACAGAATATTATATTTTTGTGTTTTCCAATTCAGCTCTGCAAGATCAAAACTGTGATGTGCATTAATTTTATCACATCTGATCTTTTATTTCCTCGCCATATCATTTACATTATATGAAAATGGATAAAATAATATATAATTACGTTAAAATCTTAAATTCTTGTGAGAATAACGATTTTAGAAATGGAATAGTCAAATTCGTTTAATGTTAAATATTAATTTCATGAAAAATGTAGAGTAAAAAGACTCAATAATTGACTAAACAAGTAAGGAATTCAGTTACAAAAGGTTCGACCGACTTGCAGATTGGAGATTTCAAAACAAGTCCTCTTGTGTACATTTGTACAAGGCATTATATAGAAATAATGTGTTTTACAGGTTGGCAGGATGTGCCCCCTGATCCTTACTTTCTCAGCGTACCTGAAAATGTAACAGTAGAGCGTGGATCTCCTGCTGTTTTGAAGTGCGCTGTTGCCAACCTTGGTACAAGACATGTACGTATATGAATATCATTTGTTATACCTTTAAAAATTTGTTCCTATATAAATCAATACTAAAAAAGTCTAACATTTCTAAAGTTTTACTGAGCGGGCATAAAAAAAATCGATGTTTGACCGCGGAATTACATTGTAGATATTGGACCTGTCGATGAGATGTTGGACTGCTTAGTCACATAATGGGCGGGGTCAGCTAAATCTCATTTGCCATCGTTGGTGTTCGACATACATTTATGTCAAAAACAATAATGATAAAATAAATAAACAAGAGGCCCATGGGCCACATCGCTCACCTGAGCACATTGGCTAGGCAAAAGCACAAATCAATTCAGTATTGAAAAGACCGGGGGGGGGGGGGCTTGAATTTTAAACTACCTGATGATGCTTCCATGTCAATATAACAAATGGCTTTGTTGTACTTGAGAAGATTTTAAAAAAAAATTCCCATATATTCCTTTGTAAAAATTTGATCCTCCATTTGTGGCTCCTCCCTATCCCAGGAGTCATCATTTGAACAAACTTGAATCTACACTATCTGAGGATGCTTCCATATCAATATGACTAAACATAGCTTTTCTGTTCTTGAGAAGAAATATTTTTTCTATATGTTCTTATGTAAAACTTTCCATCCCTCTTTGGGCCCCACCCTACCCCTGGGGGTCATCATTTGAACAAAATTGAATCTACACTATCTGAGGATGCTTCCATATCAAAATGACTAATCATGGTTTGCAGTTCTTCAGAAGAAGATATTTTCCTTTATATTTCTATGTAAAACTTTGATCCTCCATTGTGGCCCCGCCCTACCCCCGGGGGTCATGGTTTGAACAAACTTGAATTTACACTACCTGAGGATGCTTCCATATAAATATGACTCATCATGGCTTTGCTGTTCTTGAGAAAAAGATTTTTAAAGATTTTTACTATATATTTCTATGTATTTCTATGTAAAACTTTGATCCTCCATTGTGGCCCCGCCCTACCCACGGGGGTCATGGTTTGAACAAACTTGAATCTACACTACCTGAGGATGCTTCCATATAAATATGACTCATCATGGCTTTGCTGTTCTCGAGAAGAAGATTTTTAAAGATTTTTCCTATATATTTCTATGTAAAACTTTGATCCTCCATTGTGGCCCCGCCCTACCCCCGGGGGTCATGGTTTGAACAATCTTGAATCTACACTACCTGAGGATGCTTCCATATAAATATGACTCATCAGGGCTTTGCTGTTCTCGAGAAGAAGATTTTTAAAGATTTTTCCTATATATTTCTATGTAAAACTTTGATCCTCCATTGTGGCCCCGCTCTACCCCGGGGGGTCATGATTTGAACAAACTTGAATGTACACTACCTGAGGATGCTTCCACTTGAGTTTAATTTTTCCTGGCCTTATGGTTCTTGAGAAGAAGATTTTTAAATGATGCCTTATTTTTTCACCAATTCCTAATTATCTCCCCTTGAAAGAGGGCATGGCCCTTAATTTGAACAAACTTGAATCCTCTTTACCCAAGGATACTTTGTGGCAAGTTTGGTTGAAATTGGCCCAGTGGTTCTTGAGAAGAAGTCGAAAATGTGAAAAGTTTACAGACAGACAGACGGACAGACAGACGGACGGACGGACGGACGCCGGACAAAATGTGATCAGAAAAGCTCACTTGAGCTTTCAGCTCAAGTGAGCTAATAAAAGGTATAACAAAACATTTATTGACTGCGTTCTCGGGCAAAATGCGTTTTGTCGACCCCTCGAACCAAACTGTTTGGTTCTTGGGTCCGACAAAACGCATGTTGCCCTCGAACCCAGTCAATAAATGTATAATGTTGCATAATTAAAAGTTACTAGAAAGAAATGTTTCATTTGAGCTCTACTTACTAGTAATGATAAAACCTCTCCAAAATCAATCAAAAGTAGATGCTGTCAGAAGACTAATATCCGCACGTAAGTGTTTGCTTCTAAATCTACTTTACTTTTAACCAGTTAACTAATGTAGAAACCGGAATAGCTGTTCCATTAAATTTACATATATGTGTTGGGTTTCTCATTGACAATGTCTACGTAGTATTTGGAGACCAGGTTTTTCAACAATTTGTTAGAATACCCATAGGTACTATTACTGTGCCCTATTAATAGCAGACCTGTTTTGAATTCTTATGAAACAGAATTTATTCAAGAACTACTACATGAAAAGAAAAGAAGTCTTGCTGTGGCCTTCAATTGGACATTTAGATATATCGACGATTTTAAAACTATTCATTTTCTTTCCTATGTTGATTCGTTATATTCCACTGAACTCGAAATGAAAGACACCAAAGAGTCTGACACATCTGTTTCATATTTGGATTTTTTTTTCTAGAAAAAGACATTGGTGGCAAGGGTGATCAGGAATTTCAACGATCTCGTTTATGTAAAGTCATAATTTTGCAAATTCTATGGTCGATACAGTGGCCTTATTTGCAAACACAATTTATCATTACATGTAGGTCGAATGTTGACTGGCGTCTTTCATACGCAGGTATATGGTGAAGGCTCATATGAGTGAAAAATTCTCGAAAGGGACGTAAAACAACAAACCATCAATCATACAAATTGTTAGGACATTAGTTTCACAAGTTGAATTGTCTACGGATTTTTCCGCTAACCTTATTATGAGAAGGGGCACATGGCAGGTGTGACCGGTCGACAGAGGATGCTTACTCCTCCATGGCACCTGATCCCCCCTCTGTTTTTACAGTGTTTGCTGTGCACACAATTTGTTTGTTTGATTAGGCTTTTGAGCATGATTACTATTCGTTATCTTCATATTTAACAAACAGATATCTATAAAAATTGAATAAAATGCCGAGGTGAGTATGCACGTAGCCTTTGGACTTCTTATGTTAGTATTTTATATAACAAAATCATTACCAGTCTGAAATTAAAGCATTTTTTACATATTTTTTTTTTCTAAAACCTTTTCTTTAAAAAATATTTATTCTTCATTAGATTCTTTAATTTCAGGCTGGTAATGAATTTATTATATAAATGAAATATTAACATAAGAAGCCCATGGGCGACATGCTCACCTAAGCATTGTTGCTCAAATTCGGCCCCAGTTGGTCTTACGATGAAGTTGAAAATTCTGAAACATCTACAGGACAACACCAATCATATTCCAAAAGATGATTTGGCTACTGTTCAAAATCTGATAGTATTTTGAGAACCAGCTTTTTGTAGGAAAAAATGTTTTTTGATCCCTTATTGGCCCCTAGTGTGAAAATTAGAATTCTGAAACCTAAGGGCACCTCTACAGGACTACACCAATCATATTCCAAAAGATGATTTGGCTACTGTTAAAATGTAAAAGTATTATCAGAACCAGGGTTTATTTTTTTTTACCCCTTATTGTCCCCATGGGGGAAAACCTTATGGCACATCTACAATACATATTCCAAAAGATACTTTAGTCACTGTTAAAAGTGTAAGCGTATTATGGGAACAGGGTTTTGTAGAAAGCAGTATTTACTGACCCCCAATTGGCCCCAGGGTAAAAATGAAAATTCCGAAACCTTATTGCACATCTGCAAGACACCATCATTCATATTCCAAAAGATGATTTGGCTACTGTGTAATATGTAAGAAGAGTTCTAGAACCAAGGTTTTCGTAGAAATACATCGTTTTTCGACCACCAATAACTCCCAGAGTGAAATAAAAAATTCCGAAACGTTTACACCTGGCACCATTCATATTGCCAAATATGTTTTTGCAATATATATTCATATTTATTAGCATAATGGAATCAAAATCGTTTTATTTATCAAAGTTATTCATTTTAATTTATAAAATATTAATCAAAACATCACGCTGAACTGCGATCAATTACTATTTCAGGTCACATGGAGAAAAACGCCTTATATTACACCTATTATTTCCGGAGATAAAAGATTCGTGACGGACACGCGGTTTGCCAGTCAACACAATCCTCAGAGTAACCAATGGAATTTATACATCAGAAATACAAGATTGCAAGACAGTGGAACTTACGAATGTCAGCTAAGTCTAAAACATCGTCAGCAACTTCGACAAAAAGTCACATTAAATGTCATAGGTAAATACTAACGGCCATCTAACGGTCCTATTTTCTACAAGCATTAATTCTGTGCAATACTTGTAATGTGGTCCTTTAGGGTCATACGCAACGTACCTGTACATGTACTTTACAATTTACCTTTCTAACTGATATTCTTAATTTAATATCATAGTACCATCAGATGCTCTTAGACCAAAAAAAAAAAAAAAAACAAAACAAAACAAAACAAAACAAAAAAAAAAAAAAAAAAAAAAAAAAAAAACAAACAAACAAACAAACAAACAAACAAAAAAAAGCATACATTACTAGGAGTTTTGTACAGATATCAAATGATGAAAATTCTTGTGTTTTTTAGGACAAATTTTAAAAAAGTTTAAGGTATTTCCTCAAAATTTGATAAGAAAAGGTGTGCGGCATTACCAGGCATCATAAAATGGCACAAAGGTCCTCCAGTTATTGCAAAGAATGATACAGGAAATAAGAAAATTAAGTTCAAAACCACGTTGCGCACATGTATGTCCTTAAAAAAGATTATGCAAAGGGAAAGGATTTTGAGAGGACCAAAGCCAATATCAGTATTAATCTCACAATTATATAATAATATATAATCCGTTGAAAGTAAAATTCTTTTGTATTCATTCTTTCATATTCTTTTTCAGAAGAAACAATAAGTACAAGACCAGGTAAGGACTTTTCTTTATAAACTCTCCAAATTTAATTTTGCTTCTCTCCTTTATACAAGATATTGAAAATACTACATGTGAGTTGCAACATTCCTCTAAAACACACATGAAGACTGAATCACCTTTGAATCCTTAAAAGTAATTAATGTGTCCAATTTTTATGCCACTTATGAAAAGAATGAAAAACGGGACCGTAGGCCACAGTACTCGCCTATCGATTCTCTTCCTGAGGTAGTGTGGATTCAACATCCTCAATCTTTAGTTTCTTGAATGGTTTGGTATCGAATTTACAAAATTCATTACAGAGTTGTTGTTTTCTTGGGTTAAATTTTGTGCTTTGTTTAGGTCACATGTGCATCAATATGCAGAAACTTTCCCGAGATAAGTAATAATTAGGAGATGCACCTGTTATCATTTTCCAGAACGCTATGACGCCATAGTTGGAGCAAAGTTAGATTACCACTTCGATGTCAGGAATGATGTAGGATTCTAAGAATCATTCATAAACAGGATATATAGGAATCCATATGTTTATACTTGTACCCACGTTTTCTTAAGAAATTTCAGTTGTATTGTTGTTGTCCTGGTCTGTACGTCCGTCCGTTCGTTGATCACAATATCTTATACGCCTATTGAATTTTAGGCAGTATTTTCATACATTTGATTTTTCATCATAGGTGCCAATTTGGGGTCGAAGAACGATGTTTTTTTTAAACAAAATCTTCTTCCTCAAACTCCTCCTACAATTTAAAAAGTCATCAATCATCTTTTATATATGGTAGTTTGATCCTGAAGATGTGCAATAAGGTTTTAGAATTTTCATTTTTACCACGGGCATCAATTAAAGGTCGAAAACGACAAGAAACTGGTTCCAAAAACTTCTCTTAATTTTTGTTTTCAGTGGCCAATTCATCTTTTTTTAGAATATGATTGATGATATCATGTAGATTTGCAATTAGTGTTCAGATTTTTCATTCCACCTGGGGGCCAATTGAGGATCGAAAAACGACTCTTTACTAGAAAAATCCCTTTAAATCCTCTTAAATAATACTTAGTAGATAATTCTTCAATTGGTATATGATTGCTGGTGTCCTGTAGATGTGCAAATATAGATCTATACTCGGCAATCAGGGTTATTGAGCAGTGAGGATTCTTTATCATGCCAACGCCTTCCTTCTCACGGGACCTTGGTTTTTAAGTTCTCATTCGAAAGATCCGTGATTCACTTCTAATGCCGGGCTCTTGGCGAAGGATCAGTCACTACCTACATGTATCTTTATGTCTTAGGTTTGGCTTCCCGATCACGAAAAAAAAAAATAGACGGGGTCACGTGACCCCGTCTAAAAACCACTAAGGTGGTCAATTTTGTATCTAAAAGCCATGTTTTTTCCTAGTAATCTGGTTCAGAACTCCTCTTACATTTTAGGCAGTACCCAATCAACTATTAGAACATGATTGATATGCAATGAGGATTTGGGATTTTTTCTATCCAAAATCTCAGAGGGTTCTGAAAATTGTATTTTAAATACGAAAGCTTCTTTTAAAACAGAATTTATGCTTCATTAAATTCTTTAGGTTTTAGACTGATCATAAATATATAATATGAAATGCTACTAGTAACATAAGAGGCACATTTTTTGCTCAATTTTATACCTGTATATTTATGTAAATTATAGAATAACTATTACTGCTTCTTCACTAGTTACTAGAACCAAGGTACGAAGGAAAATAATCTTGTAGGCAAACGCTTGCATGCAGGTATAACTGCCTCATGACAGCATCTTGTTTGGATTGGATATGATTTTTATCCAATAAATTGTGTGTCGGGGATATCCGATGATTAATTAATAATATAATGGTGATTTTATCTCGAAGTACATTAAATTAATAGTGTGTGATTTTGTTAGTTATGTAACAAACATTTAATTCTTTTGATCATCACAGCGGTAATTCAGTTAGCTATCTGCCAGAAGTGATGTCATGCTGACATTTATTTTAAAATCAACTGTCTTGATAATAACCGTCAATACCTTTTCATTAACATCTAGTATCAGAACTGCAACTCTAACCCAATTTATCGTACACTAAAATAGAGTAGCAATATAAGGACGATTCAGTTTCATACTGATAGAAGTTGTCAAGACGCTTCTGAATTATCAATGAGTTCTTGTTAGAGTTTCTGTATCATTCGTGTCTCCACACCCAATATGCCTCCTGGATAGAAAAGAGAATTAAAAAAGAACCTTATTGCATGTCCACTAGGCATAACAAATCATATTCCAAAAATTAATTGCTACTGCATAAGATGTAAGAGGAATTCTGGGAACATTAAAAAAATACCCCCAGTTGGCTTCATCTATGAAAACGAGAATTATCCAAACCTCATTGCATATCTACAGGACATCACCAATCAATCATATTCCAAAAGATGAACTGACTACTGCGTAAAAGAATTCTGGGAACCAGGTTTTTGTAATTAAGAAAACGTCATTTTTCGACTCCAGTTGGCCTAAAAGTTGAAAATTAAATTTGCAAACCTTATTGCACATCTACAGGACACCAAAAATAATATTCCAAAATATGATTTGACTACAGCATCAAATGTAAGTTGAGTTCTGGGAAGCAGTTTCTTATATAGAAAATTGTATTTCTTCTACCCTTCATTGGTCCTTAGGGTGAATATGAAAATTCTGAAACCGCACTGCACATCTACAAGACATCAACAATCATAATGGCTGTTTTGGCTACTGCATCAAATGTAAGAGATAAATGGGAAGCAGGTTTGAGTAGAAAATGTCGCGTTTCGAACTCGAATTGACTCTTCCTGGTCAAAATAGAATCTTTAGGACACCAACAGTTATATTCCATTGGATGAATTGGCTGCTGCACAAATTGTAAGCGGAGATTTAGGAAGAAGATGTATGACAGACGGACTGACCAAGATAACAACAATATACATGTATCCGAATTTTTTTTAAGAAAGAGACATTATAAATTTGATAAAAGAATAACGAATATTTAGCGTCAGCTAACATATTAAGCAACGAGGCTGAGTTCAGAAAATCGAAATAAAAACTTTTTTCAATGAAGTGGTCTCAAAGTACAAACTTGAGATTAAAATTGGACTATTTCAGGCATAAAAATTGGTGGCACCAGATTTGTTACAAAAGGGGAGTCCATATACATAGAATGTAATGCAACGGGGAGCGATTATCCACCAGATCACATTGACTGGTTTCTAAATGGCAATAAATTATACACAGACCCAAGGAGGCGTGTTCTTATCACATCTCGTGTATCTTTACATACAAAGACTCTTACCAGCGCAGTTAATATTTCAAATGCAACTCTGAGGGACACCGGTACCTATGTCTGCCGGACTTCTAGTCAGTTAACACGAGGAATGCGTGTAGATGTCCTGAATGGTATGTATTTTGTCAAGTATGATAATCAAGAAACTAATAAATGCTTGAATTCAAAGGAGTGAAGAATAAATGCACAAGACATTTTTCACGAAAAAAGACGTTAATTATGAATATTTCATAAATATGTTTAATGAAAGTGATCTTTGCACGTGATGAAATAACACTCGATGCTAGATTATCAATGGGGATTTTTAGGCTTTATTTTACTTTAATGTACTAAGAAGAATTTTTGCCCGTTTGGAATTTTCATAAGGTTATATGCTATTTGCTAGAGAAATGTTTGCATTTTCAGGGCACTTGGGTCACTTAGATTATCAAGAGTTTTTTCTGTGCTTTTAAACTTTCCTGATAGAAAATATGCTATAGAAAAAGCATTGATAGTCGTATATAAAAGTATAGAATAATAATAAAGAATATTAAAAAATATGAATTTTAGGATTTCAACTAAATGGGGTTGCCTATCTGGATGTGATTTTCGAAAAAAAAAAATCCACAATTTTTAGGACACTGTTCTGAGCAATGAAATGTTTGTTATAGTTTTGCAACACCTAATAAAAAAGAATGCTTGTACTCCTAATTATCTCGGATAAAAAAGCATTAACCTTCGATTAAATTGTTAATTTAAGTTCAATATTCATACTGGTTTTAGTTAATCGTTTTTTAATCTATTTGAAACATTGTTGCTTAAGCTAATCAATTGATTTTTTATTTCAGCAGGAACATACAACGTGAAAAGAGGTAGGTTTCTTTCTCCCCATTTTATTTAAATAATACTCAAAATTATTTTGTTAAAAAACATTCATTGTACATTGCTCTGAAGTTGATATTAAAAAGATGCCTGAGTTTCTGATTGACAATATCTATGTGGTTTTTGGAGACCAGGTCTTCCAACAATCTGTTGGAATTCCCATGGGTACCAAGTGCGCCCCGTTGTTAGCAGACCTATTTATGTATTCATATGAAGAAGAATTTATTCAAAATCTTAAAAATAAGAAAAAGAAATCTCTTGCTGTGCCCTTCAACTCGACATTTAGATATATCGACGACGTATTATCAATTAACAATAGTTATTTCCATTCATATGTCGACATATATCCCAGTGAGTTTGAAATAAAAGATACCGCAGAGTCTGACACATCCGTTCCTTATTTAAATATTTTACTTGAAAAAGTAATCTAATAACCAATCTTTATGATAAACGTGATGACTTTAACTTTTCAATTGTCAACTTTCCTTACTTATGCAGAAATATACCCTTATCACCTGCATATGGGGTGTATATTTCTCAGTTGATTCGAAACACAAGAGCATGCTCTTCGTATGAACAAATTCTAAACGAGGTAAGTTATTGACAAACAAGTTGATGAAACAAGAATATCAACGGCCTCTTTTAAAGTCATCATTTCCTAAGTTCTATACAATGACCTTGTCAGTAAATACAATCTATCATAAAGTCATATGCTGACTGATATGCTGACTGATGTTTTTCATACAAATTGTTAGGCCATTATTTACACACCGAATTGTCTACGGATTTTTCCGTTATTTACCTATCATGACAATTAGCAAACGGCGGGTGTGACCTGTCGGCAGCGGATGCTCACTCCTCCATGGCACCTGATCCCACCTCTGTTTTTGGAGGTCCGTGTTTGCTCTGCTCCCGATTTGTATTGTTTTAATGGACTTTTAGCTTGAATAATGTTCGTTATCTCCTTATTTCATACATTGTACATAAATTTAAGACGAAACAAATTGTATATATAGGTGTTGCATATGCCATTACATCTTTGGAAATTTGAGTCATTCGACACACAATTTGTAATATCAACGCAATGTGTTACAAAATTTGCTATTTGCCTTAAGGTAAACACAACATGTAGAAAAAATGGGGGTGGATGGGGTGGGGTTTAACTTTAATGAAACTTCAAATGTTTTCCGAGCAAGTTTTCAAACAAAAATATTTTTGTTTATTGGACGATAAAAATAGCAATAAAATTGTAACATTCATTTCGTGTTATCATATTTTGTGTTGGAATCAACAAAATGTAGCTAGGGGACGGTTACATTTGTTTCTCAAAGGGCTTCCCTATCTCCAAATGAGAGCCATTTTCATTCAAACTTCAATAAAAGTATACGTAAATATTGTAACGTAAAAAGTACTTGTTTCATAAGTTGGATTAGAGAATTCTGGTTAGTTTAAATTTGTATCAAAACCATTCTTTAGATAGAAACTTATGTCTGAAAGTTTAAAAGAGGGATCATTTTGGATATAAATCGCAGATTTTATGTTTCATACATTATTATTGGTTTTATATTAATACAATGTACTTTTGTATTTCAGGAGCCAACAACCAAACAACGAAAACAGAATCAAAACCTCTTAAAGACAAGGCAATTTTTCTACATTCCTCAGCTGATGTGATATGGCTTACAGTTTTTACATGTTATATCATGCAATGACAGCACCTCCTGTTAATTTTTTTTGTTAAATCTTTCCTTTTATTTTTATACCTCTTCCATTATGTTTGTTGAGTAGGGAAAATTTCTACTTTTAAATATTGTGTATGTCCAATTTTCACCATATTCACAAAGTCCAAAAAAAAAAATAAATAAATAAACATTAAACAGTTGTATGTATTTTACATACATGAAGTACTTCATACACTATCATTTTCCATGTATCATATTCCATAATTTAAGCCCGAGATCTTGGGTTTTACTCAACGCAACCTCACAAAAGATTATGAACAAAAGAAGATTGTAATTTTCATAAAATATGTAAAAGTATATACTAGTAATTTACAATCTTTTGCTTAAAAAAATATCATTCTAATATCATATATTAAATGACAAAAAGTGGGTTGTTCGACCGTCTTTTAATATCTTTATATATATATCCATTTGAAAATTCATGCAAATATACATGTTTGTTTAATGAAATTAAAGAAATATTATAGTAATCAGTTTTTATGAAACAATATAAAAAATGTTGATCTTGGATTTTTGGCATGAGAGACTTTAAATTAAAAAAAAAACATCGTAAAGCGTGTTTATTGAATTCATAAGAAGAACCCTTATCTGCATATTGTTGACTGTAGTGTCCTCTGTTTCATTCGACGTCAGATTGTTGTAAATCTGAGAATATTTTTATCTTCTTCACCGGAATTCAATGTAGTTGAATCGTTTTTGGCTGGATGTCTGTGGATATTTTGATGTCGATGCCAAAAACAGAACAAATTTATAAATTTACGGCCCCTACCAAGGAGGGATCGAAACCATCAAGATTATGCAGTCTTTATTAATACTCAATTTTGTACATCAAGTATTGAAAAAAATTTTGCATGTTTATAATGAACATTTTAATATCTGTTTAATTATCACTTGTTATTTTATCGTCATTTACATTTTTACTTAGTTTTTAAAAATCAATTTTTTTCATCAGTATTACTTGAGAAATGACAGTGTCAAAGTATACAAAGTGGTATAAACTATTTTTGTTAACACTTTAAGATGTTGCAGAAATAAAATTTGTATACCATTGAAAATTTCACAGTTCTCTAAAACGTTTGAATTTTATGACAATTACATTTACTTACTTACCAAAGTTTTTAATTGATACTACACCAAATAAAATTGAAATGCGCTGAAATATTTTCCTTGTTCTTTTGATAGCAGCTTGTTATTTCCTGTTGAAATCTTTCTGAGCGTTTGATGGGCTTATATCCAGTAAAGTTCGTACAAAGAGGTTATATGATGTAAATGAATATAAATTTGAATTATACATCTACTTGATATGTTGATTCTTTGTTGGTGATTTGCACTACGGATCAGGGACCAAAGCAGCTTTTCACGTGCTTATCACCATGGAAGGTATTAATCGTTCATTGAAAAAAAAAAAATAATGAAAAAAAATATAAAATCCTGGAATGTAAGTTTCTTAAACAAGATTTACCTTTCTTTGTTTACCCAGAGCTGATAAACCATGTTCTTGACTCTGGTAGGAAATCGGGTTAAAATGTGGGGGGGGGGGGGGATTATCATTGTTATTGCAAAAGTGATGTTTTTATAATTTTATATTGAAAATTCTATCTAGAGATTTGAAAACCCTAAATATTTTTATTGATATTTTACAAGTTGTGTATAAATTTAAAAAAAAAATTGTGGAAAATATGACTTATAAATAAAATATGACATAACTTTAAAAAAGTTGAAAAGGATGTAAATTAATAATTTGATTATATTGAAAATTCGATCTAGAAATTTGAAAATCCTAAATATTTTTTTTACAAGTTATATATAAATGATAAAAGTAGGGGGAAATATTACTTATAAATAGAAAAAGTTGAAAATGTCGTACATTTGAATTAAATATAACATTAAATGCAGCACACAGTGCAAAGCACAATAAAACAGACACTGAGCAGATAATGGGAATTAAAATGATTGCTACAGACAGTATTAAACACACAAAGCACAAATCCATAGATGACATGAATGCAGTAGACATAGTAAACCAAAAAGGCAGAAAAACACAGATAAAAAGAAATGACAGTCATCATAATTACTTTCTATACCTTCATGGAATGCACCATTTGTGTACTATGTAATGAACATACACAACCACAATTAACACTGGATGTCCTAAAATTGATTTTGTTTGTGTCATACAAATAGACTATGTTATGTTAGAGGAGCAGTATTTCAAGTCTACATGTAATTAGTTTGCCACACAAAGGATTATGAACTTAACAAGGACTGAATTGTTATAGTCTGTTACAATGTAAAATTCAGCCACTGTTGTAAAGCGCGAGAGGGAGTTGTCTTTATTTCCAGAGATTATCAAAGTGTTACGTATAATTTGATTCCAAAGGTGTACTATATCAGTACGTTATAGACGACAAGCAAAGACAAATCCCGAATAATGATTCATCCCATTCTGATGTGACGACCATTTTATTATGTTAAATCCCCGTAGACTTTGAATTTGCTGCCGTCCCGATATACTAGTTGTACTCGAATGAAATATGGAGATAACGAACAGTAATCAAGTTCAAAAATACATTGAAACAATACAGAATTGGAGCAGAGCAAACACGGATCTCTATTAACATCAGAGGTGGGATCATGTGCCATGGAGGAGTAAGCATTCCCTGTCGACCGGTCACACCCGCCACGTGCTCATTGTCATGATCAGGCAAAATCCGTAGACAATTCAGTGTGTAAATAATGGCCTAAAAATTGATATCAGCATTCGACTCAATGATAGATTGTATTTGCTGACTAGGTCATTGTATCGACCATAGAATTTGCGAAATGATGACTTCAAAAAAGACTGTTGATATCCTTGTTTCATCAACTTGTTTGTCTATAGCTTGCCTTGTTTTAGAAATTGTTCATACGTAGAGCATTCTCTTGAACGAATCAACTGGGAGACATAAACTCCATATGCAGGTGATAAGGATATATTGCTACACACGGGGATTGTCTCAGAAGAATGCGAATATTTTCAATATTTTTGTTTCACTTATTATACACGTAATAGTTGGTGTGCACCATAATCAGCATTTTTTAAAATACTTTATAAAAATTTCAAGAAAATATTTCTATAAATCTTTCGGTAAAATGAACCTTGAAAAAAATCAGCTGTCGGAGCAACACTGACGACGTCAAGACGTACATGTAGCTCCTGGCGTTTGCGACTTTGTTCAGGAATTGGGTCTCTGTAATAAATCGTTTGAAGCATAAATTCGACACTGCAATTGATTTGCTGTTTGTTACCGAGTTATCCGCCTCACACCTACTAGAATCACCAAGAGATAGCGGGATTCAGTTTTTAATAGAAAATGTCTCATTCCCATCATAAAGCTAATTTAACGGCGATCTTAACGTATGATGTCCAGCTCCAGACTTTTTCAGTTTGTCGTTATTTTTGTTAGGCTTTCAAACACCTCTTCCATCGTGTAACCAGTCTAATCATCCTTTGACCTCTTTTGCTAGGTATAAACCAGAGTCCTTGATATGTGATTGTGTCATTCTATCGTTTCCATCTCTTTACTCGTAGGGCTAGGAGTCATACCCCGATAAACACAGTGATGCATAATTTTTTGGTGCTCCGCATTATCTCCCGATCGACGTCGCCAATCTAATGAAAAGTGGTTGTGCATATATCGTCATATTTTTGTCATTTATCATGTAAAATAAATGTTTTTACACATGAGTACTCCAGGTCATAGACTCTTTCTATGGATGTAAAATTTATATAATTCACATAATACTTCCGCATAGTTTGGTAAAAAGGAAGAGATCCCTCATAACGCCATCTTTAAAACGCCAAAAATTGCGATGCTCCGACCACCAATATTCAACACCCTTGAAATGCTGTTTCCACGTGCAATGACAATATTACCTTTTATTATACCTCTATTAAGAATACTCAAATTTGATTGGCTTGTTAGAAGGCTTTTAAACTCAATAATGACTCCAAAAAGTACCATTTACAGCAATAATGACCTAGGAATCATTGCACGTGGGGTATAATGACCGGTCAATAAAAATAATGACCGCTAAAAATGGCCTGTTAATCCAAATTCCATTCAAATCTTAAAATTAATGCATACAGTAATGACTGTTCATTACAAAAAATGCCGTTATAAAAATATGTATAGTCTTTTTATGATACGGAATACGATTGTCCTTTAGATGCGTCATAAAATTTATCGTTTTCATTGAAACTTTCGTTACAATGTCAAATTCAACGAATGCAGACTTGGCTCTTTTGTACAGTAAAAGTCTGCACCAGATTGTCATTGTACTCGGAAATGGTATTTGTGAATTTATAAAAATGCATGTTACTGACAATCACAGAGTGTTTTAATAAATCGGCGGTGCAAAAACTTACAAGACTTGCAGGCGAAAAGTAAACAACTTCACTAGCGAATCCCGATCCCGATGAAACACTGATAATAACAGATCGTAGATCTAATACACAGTTGATTATTTTAGTAATTAAGCCTACAAAAATTGTCTTGACTTATATCGGTATAATAAAACAATTGATTACCCCTTATGAGTTCAACATGGTGAAATAAGGACCCTCGACCTGGCCCACTCGCTGACCTGACCTGACCTCGGCCGCTACGCGGCCTCGGTCAGGTCAGGTCACCTCGTGGGCCAGGTCGAGGGTCCTTATTTCACCATGTTGACCTCATAAGGGATAATTAATTGTATATTGTTATACCTTTAAAAATGTGTTCCTATATAAATCAATACTAATAAAAGTCTAACATTTCCAATGTTTTACTGAGCGGGCATAAAAAAAAATCGATGTTTGACCGCGGATTGAGATATTGGACCTGTCGATGAGATGTTGGGCCGCTTACGTCACACAATGGGCGGGGTCAGCTAAATTTCATTTGCATTCGTTGGTGTTCGACATACATGTATGTAAAAAATAATAATAATAATAAATAAATAAAAGGTATAACAAACCATTTATTGACTGAGTTCTCGGGCAAAATGCGTTTTGTCGACCCCTCGAACCAAACTTACGGCCTCAGGCAAACAGTTTAGTTCTTGGGTCCGACAAAACGCATGTTGCCCTCGAACCCAGTCGATAAATGTATAATAATATTTTGTTAGAATGGTGAAAATTTCATTACCCAACAATTCGCAAAAAAGAATAATTTTGGTCCGGTATTTATTAAATATTTCAAAAGTTCGCATTTTTCAGGGACAATCCTCGTAAATAATGGAATTTGGCGATAGAAAAGTTGAAGTCATCACGTTAATCATAAATGTTGTAAGGTTACTATTAACATCTTTTTCTAGTAAAATATCCAAGTATGAAACGGATGTGTTAGACTCTATGGTATCTTTTATTGCAAGTTCAGAAGGATATATCGAATCAACAAAGGAATGAAAATGAATATTGTTAATTGATAAAACGTCGTCGATATATCTAATTGTTTTATCAAAGGCCGCAGCAGGTTCTTATCAAAGCAGCGAAGTTAAAGGAAAATGATCTATTGACCGTACCTGGTTTGAAAGCCCAGGTGTTTATATATTTTAAGACAGTAATGCAAAAAATGATGTCCTTAGTACCGTTGGATAGGCTATAACAATCTAACAGAGTATAGTAGAGTATATGATACAATATCTAATCTTGAAAAGTAATCTGAGATTAAGTGATTATGAAAGAATAACAAAAAGTGCAGGTTGTAAGTAAAATTTCTGTGGACTATAGTTTGAAAATACACGTTTGCAACATGAATTGAAATAAATATTATATTAACTCATTTTTATAAAACAGTGTTTTAATTTTTAAAAAAATCTTTCATATTGGATTTTTTAATCATAATGTTGCATCAGAGACCGTAGTTGAAAAACTCATTATAAAGTGTTTACGTATAATTTAATAAAAGAAACATTTTCTACATGTTGTTCACGAACTAAAAGTAAAACTAAACCACGATATTTGTTATCTAATCCGTTTTATTTGTGGTCTTTTCGTAAATCTGAGAGAGATTTCAGCTTGTAAGGACGAAAAACGACCCCCGTGACCGGGGGGTGGGTTCAAATTTCTACGTGGAAAAGTGAACCTCCGGTCAATATTCTACTGCAAATAGGGTCATTTTTCGACCGTAGAAAACC